TTGTAATCATATTAATCTGTGGGCCACGTAGCATATGTTGAGCGTCACGGTCAACGCGCGTCCACCGCGTCCGAGGGAGAGTCGCGCTTGGTTGACCAGACTACACCAAATTCACAGCGCTAATGACGAATAATTTTGTTTTCAAAGAGAGAGAAAATGAGGAACAAGTTTTTGTCTTACTGTCACTGTAACTAATATAACTGTTTTTTTCTCAAGTTTGACCAATGAATTATTGTATAATCTATATATTATGTATATATAAAAATCAATTGCTACTGTTCATTAGTCTCGTTAAAACTCATAAATAGCTGGACCGATTAGAATAATAATTTTTTGTTTTGTAAGGGATATATAAGGGATAGTTAAAGTATAAAAAATAGGTAAAACCCATTAGAACAGCTGGAAAATCGAAAATTTCAGAACTATTTATTATGTATGGGAAATGGGAATCACTACTTTGGATTACTTTCAAGTTTCAATAATGGTGGACTTATCTACAACGATGCGTCAAGTGTTAGTTGGAAAAAATATATATAATTTTTAATATTCTATCTATTCCATACTAACCGTTAAAAAGTATCTATGGACGAACTCGAGCGAAGCAAGGGTGAGTCGCTAGTTTTAAATATAACTGCTTTCTTTAACGTACCTTTAGATAAGTATGTGCTCCTCATTTAAAGTACTCTAACTTAAATTATGAACTGTAATTGTTGTCTTTATTTACTAAATTAAAAAAAAAACACTTGGCCGAGTGCAAATCGGGCCCATACCTATTCGTATCTACCGTTTTATATACATTGTACACCTACTAACATCCTAACATTAAGTTGGATCTAAATATATTCATAATACTTAATTTGTTAATTATTGCTTTAATAAACTAAATGAAAAAAATAACATTATTATACTTTAATAATTATTTTAAATTCTAGCACTTGCTAGCCGAAACAAGCCTATAAGTATTATTCCTGTAAATTCGTCCATATTTTTTTATAAATTCTAAGCTGGTAGTTTAGGAAGCAAAAGTAGGGGAAGGCTATTAAAATGTTTTTTTACAGAAATATATTTTTCTTTTTTTTTAATCTCTACTTCATTAGCAATGTATCTGTTTATATGATATTGAATTCTTTTTAAACAATTATTATAAAATTATGACATGATTTTCTACATTACGCAGTTGTAAAATTGAATCTCAGTCACTATGATTATTTTAAATGACGCTTACGTTCAACTCCTAAGAAAGTGACGTGAAAATATTATGATATGATCTTGTTTAAACAACATTAATTACTTTACTACAACTTTAAATATAGGCATATAGGCTTATATTTTGTATAGCCAAGAGGTTACAAGCAGTCAGTCATAGCCAACCTGTCGGTGACGGTGCCCGCACCGCAATAGGAAGTGCAGTGAACGGTCCCTTGCGTTACGCTATAGTTCGAAATTCAAACAGTGTGTTTTTTTTTTAATTATTCAAGCTTTGGACGTGGGAAGCTTATTGTAAGATTTTGTTTTATTTAATATTTTATTTTATGATATAAACTAGTTATAATTAATATAATTGTTTGTTTTTTTTGATGATAATATATGTCTTATAGATGAGAAATTAATTTGATTAGTTTCTTATGTAAGGCTAGAATATTCTTTCGTCACAATTATAATATAAACAAAAAAAGTTATAGCGACTTTAAATTTGTCTAAAACCTACTAAAATTAAAAGACCATTAGAAGCACTTTTGATATATATTTTTTACTACAACATTTTTATATGACAAATATATAAATGAGATGAACATCTACCGAGTGCAGAAATAATCTAGATTTTTTGAGTTTGTTTTATAATTTAACGATAGGCGATAAGGATAAATTAGAGATAATATATATAGTAAATACAAACCTACTTATTCATTTTCAGGATTCTATTGTAACCAGATACATGAATATTTACAATTAATTTAAAAAAAAAATACCATCGTGTCTTATAAATAATTAATTAACCATTGATCCGATGTAAGCTTTCACTTTTACCATCATCTAAAATAAGCGATGGCAAGAGTTTTAAAAAATTCTAAAAACAAAATTCAATAATATAATTTTTAATTGTCTAAAAAATACATTTGTAATAATATATAATTCTAAAAACAATTTAATTTAATATACAAATAATTTCTAATATTTAGTTGATATATCTGCTTGTTACTTTAAATTGTTAGATGTGACAAAAAAAAAGATCTAAGTAGGTACATTACCGGATAGAACAAGTACTACTCTATATGGAACTTGTCACCTGTATCTCGATAGTTGTAATTCAGGGCTCTCTAAACTATGGCCTGCGAAAATATTAAGTCAAATACAGACAGTTTTTTAATCTATAAATTTTAGTATGTTTAAACTTTAATAATCCATAGATTTTTTAAATAAAACTATCTTTTCGGATTATTTCGCGGATTTATTTAGATTTTTGGGAGACCCGTCTCTCCCGTGACCATGATTGCTGTAAAGCATTCGAAACGTCGGGAACCAAAAATCAAAATAAATCTGCGAATTAATCCGTAAAGATAGTTTTGTTTAAAATGTCATATATTCGCGTAAATCTAAGAAAGTATTAATCCATTATCCATAGATTTTCTTATTTTTAATTCCTTAAGTTCTTATAAATTAATGTTTTGAACATTGTACTCACACCCAGTGGACAAATAGCAAGAATACAATTAATACTTATGTAGCCCCAATAAATATGTACTCTAAACAGGAATCAAACTTATTATTATATGTGAATGCATTTAAGTGAATGCAGTTGTTTTTCATATTTAAAAAAACTGACTCTAAATCAATATGTTTGATTACATCTGCTATAAACAAATCATCGCGTGAAGTAGATCGTGACAGATTTCAATTTATGGGTCAGCTATTATATCCATATAAATTATAGTTATCGAGTAAAGAAAGTTCAATGGTACGATATTAAAATGGTGGTCAAATACTTCAATGAACATTTCTATGGGTTGCACGTAAAACTTTTATAAATTGTTTTATAAGAGAATATCAGGGTTGTTTAATATATGTACACTCTACCATAGAGTTCACTAAATTTTTTTACGCTTTCCATGGTCTACTTTCGTCATGTAAATATAAAACGTAACAATTTTATAGTTTAAATTAAATTATCTTAAGTGTTACTTTCTAACTAGAATAAGACATTAATTCTGATTATGCAGTAACCCGTTAGCATACTTACTATAAAAATATGTATGGACTATGTAAATCATATAAACAAAAATAATAAAATGTGAACAACTTTTTAATGTTATTATTACAACATTACTCGAAAACTGTTTTAGCTTCATGTCGGTTAAATATTAATTGCCCTAAGCATGCGATATATTTCCTAGTGATTTTACACGTCAATGAATGTACAAAATAGCTATGTAAACTTAATTTTTTATGACATCTATATTTATTTATGATTCAAGCAATTACTTTATATCCTTTTTACCCATAAAATTTGTCATGTCGAATAGAGAATACTGAATAGTATAGGTATAGTAAAATATTTTTTCTGCGATTCTATTTAAAATTTTTGTTGCCGACGTTTCAGGGAATATGGTCACGGGAGTCTCCGTCGAAGAATTGTCATTTAAAATTATTAGAAACAATAATGTTTATTTAATGTATCAAACAGTCTCGTAAATCTAAGATAATATATTTTAATTATATTTTGAAAATGTTACTATATTTGTTATTATACACATTTTAATAACGACTGTATATTTTTAATGTAGCACTATCCTAAAACGTTTATGTACTACTAGCATAACCCGTGGTTTCGCTCGCGCTAAAATAACAAAAATATCTCTAAAAAGGTAGTTTCATACAATTTTCATCCCCTATTTTACCCTCATATAGGATGAATTTCGAAAAATGCTAAAACACGTATTTATTTAATTTTATTGAAGAACATTAATATAAAGTTTCTAGTAATTCTGATCATAAATATTTTGTTGGATTGTATTATGTTTTCCCATGGGAATTAGATAATCTCCTGCGGTTAAAAGTAGCCTATGTCACTCTCCAACCCTCCAAGTATCTCCACACAAAAAATCACGCCAATCAATTTCGATTTCGACGTGAAAGAATGACGAACAAACAAACACACTTTCACATTTATAACATTAGTATGGATAATCTATATGTTAATACTAAAATATTTATTGACACGGATAGATGCTCTTATCAGATTTATACGTCTTTAAGGTCATTCGAAGACGCAAGTGTGGAAGGCGGCTACTTGGAAGTTTAATTAGCTTATATAATTAACTTATCGATGAGCGTCTGACAAAGTAGCATGATGGTTCTGCTAAGCTGGCGGCAGCGTGTTTTTGTCGTACAAGGTAAACGCTGAAGTCGTTAAGGCTCAGACTGTCGTAAGATGTCTGTTTCATATTTTATTTTAGGTTTAGTTTCGGTATGTACAATAAATTTTGTCGTTAGCCTATACAAACGATAATATTTCCTCGCATCCGTAAATGTTGGAAAATTCTTTGTGGGAAAAAGTTTTTGTTCCCTTAGAAATCGTGCGAAATACCCGAGTTAATAATATAATATCTAGGTGATAGTGAGATGTATGTCATAGTATCGTAGATTTTCATTTGTACTATGCATTAAATACTTTTACGTAGTTACTTATGATATTTTCTTCAATTAGGTAGATAGCATTGTTTTTATTACAGACAGAATGGGTCATATTATCAATGATTCAGATAAAACTTTAAATCATGACACATTATGATTATTTTATTTCAATGCATAATAATTATTCAGAATCATAATGTCATCATATAATAGTGTAATAGTACTACTTTAAGCACTTTTTAAAAATTTATTGAAAAAAAAAATACAGTAAGTTTATTATTTTATTGATAATATTGATTTATATATTGATAACGCCTACACAAAACAAAATTTTATAACGAATGTGACTGCAAAAGAGGTTCTAATTATATTTTCACTACCGCTCTACCGGTATTATTTCCAGCCAGCATTCCTACAAATGCATCATAAATATTATCAAAACCTTCTGTTATATGTTCTTTGGTTTTAATTTGTCCACCTTTGATCCATTTACTGAGATCAGAAAATGCTTCAGGCCATCTGGTAATCCAGCGATGTACTAAGAAACCTTCGACTTTTAGTTGCTTCATTACAATATCCATTTGAACTATCGGAGCTCTAGGCAAATTTGCGATATCTTCATTATACGCACTAATACTTCCACAAACTGACACTCTTCCAAAATGGTTCATTTGGTTCATTATAATACTACTCATTTCTCCACCAACATTATCAAAGTAACAGTCTATTCCATTTGGAGCTGCGTCTTTGAGAGCCTTTCCAATATCTACGGTCTTATAGTTGAAAGCTTTATCAAAACCTAACTCTTTTTCTAACCACTCAACTTTATCATCTGTACCTGCGAAGCCAATTACTTTGCAGCCTTTTATTTTCGCAATTTGTCCTACAAGTGATCCAACGGCACCAGCCGCGCCTGTTACAACGACAGTTTCACCGGGTTTGGGCTTACAAATTTCAAGGAAACCAAAATATGCAGTTGCTCCTAGCATACCTATAGCACCGATAGCTAGAGAAGTCGATAAACCATTCAAATTTGGCGCCTTATTCACTACATCAATAGGAGATGATGCTACATTTGCGTTAATTACACTGTGTGTGCACCAGCCTTTATGTGACACTACTTTTGTACCAACCGGATACCGTGGGTCTTTTGAGTCTTCAACCAACCCTACTTGAAAGCCGAACTGGTCATAAGGAATTGGATATCTTCCATTATAAGCACGCATGTATGGATCTACTCCAACGAACTCTGTTTTAACAAGGATCTCTCCATTCCGGATGGGAGGTAGATCATATTCAACAATTTCAAAATCATCGCGCTTTGGCATTCCCTCAAAATACTTTTTCACCACATATTTCCTAGCCTTAACCATTTTTTTTTTAATATGAACTAAAGCGGTAATTCGCACGTAACTGATTTAACATTCAATTTTTTTATTATAAACACCATGTTATCATTTACGACATATTATCGCAAACGTCCAAATTATCTTAGATATACATAGGTAGTGTTCAGATAAATAGGTCTAATATCATGTATTTATGAAGTCATTTATTTTCTAATTATTTAATTTCTAATAAATAAAATATTTGATTATAATTAGTTCTAAATAACTTTATTCAAACAGTTTGTATCGCATTGTAACAAACATGCTATGTTAAGTCGGTGTGAATCCGGACCCTAGTGATGCCTAACCGCACCGACACGCTCACTGAACACCAGACACCTGATGGGGCAAATGCCCTTAAATCCTGCTATTTTTAAATATTAACCACAAATTTTTATTGATTTAATGATTAATGAAACTTATTACTTCAATACAAAGTGCTGTTTCTCATGACACTTATAAAAATTATATAAATAATGACTTGGAGTTTCTAGCGCTATTGCGTACCTAATGTACACTATAGTAACCCTATAGTGTACATTAGAAATAAAGCATCTATAGCCAGTTTCTATTAAAACTATTTTATTAACTTTTACATGCCGAATACAAAGAGAAAAAAATATTTTTTATGATCTGAGAACTGAATAACATGTAATTAATATAGTTATTAGCTAATTTTTATTCATCTCTAATTAGTTTTAGTTAATAGCTATATTTGTTGAAATTTCAAATTTATTAGGTAGATAGGCTATTATAAAGATAACTTTAAGAGGTTTATAAAATAATCATGGTTAAAATAAAGAATTAAGTATAAAATAAACAAGTCGAGAAATAGTTTGCAATAGGAGAAATACAAGCCACGTGAATGAGAAGGAAGTGACCCTATAATTAAGAGTGATTGCAAAGACCGAGACTTTCGCGTATAAAAAGCGGCTCACCTGCTATGCATCTTCTGTAGAATCAGGTTGAGTGTTTCCATTATCGTAATTGTGATACTTAAATGCTCTATTCATATACCAAAACATAATGTTAGTATTCTAGTGTTATTTCAATAGTAATAATTTATATATACTGAACTCTCAAATGCTGCGATGAATAAACATTTTATCATACATTGTAGCATTTAAAATAAATTTGTTATCTCTCTTTGTGTAAAATATTGTTAACAGAAGGAAATAATGTCAATCTTTACTTAACATTATATGTAAATGCAAGAAAACGTTTGTAGGCTTATTCTTGTTTCACACAGTAATAGAGCAACGGATCGATGTTGTTTGCATAGACATAGTTTAAAGGGTAGAAATAACAGAAGACAAGATTTTTTCCCCGATCAATTATATGGAAATAACAGACAGTAAGACCTTTTTCTCCGATCATGGAGTATATGGTGCACATGGTATATTAATTGGAAAAACTTACTTAGCGGAGCTAATTTCTTAGTAATGTTATAAAATAAGTAAAAATAATAAAATATCATGTCAAATTTAATTTAATATTGGATGGTGTAATGGAAATAGTTTTGATCCAATAAAGAAACAAAGACAATCCGAGAGCCAACTTATTAAGAGTAACAATCCACTACACACAGTAAATGTAACAATCCACAGTAATATTACAAACACATTTGTTATATTACAAATTACTGCAAATAAATAATGATGCAGGAAACAACAGACTTGTTTTTATTTGATGAAAAGTGAAAATGAGAACAAACTAAACGATGTTGATTACACCTTATGATCGTCACGATGCTACATTGTAATTTGCGTTTTACATCTCCACCTGCGTTGATATCTAACGATCAAAATAAATTATTTAATACGAGGCATAAATAAATGTTATGAACTTAGTACATTATAAACGTGGGTACTGAAACAATAGTTGAACAAATATAGGAGTATTTAGTTTCGACATTTTTTTTTAATTAAAAATTAAAATATAAAAACGTTTACTTCGAATAATATACCTATATTTAATATTCTGTTGCTTAAGACATATTTTCCCATAAAAAATATTTAGTGATTCGGCAAGTACTAACAATGATAAGTAAACACAAAATTTTATATTCAAGTATAATTTTATAATCCAATCAAAGTATGTAATAAAAAACATCAAACAATATTGTTCAACAAAATATACTAATTTAATTAGTCAAATTTCTTTTTTCGATATTCCTAAATTTAAACCTCTTATAATAGGTACCTATTAATAAAATAAAGCTTTGGTTTCCCTTGTCTTCTATTTTAAACCCCCTCCAAAGGAGGATAACTTTTGTTTTAAGAACATGTCCCTAACTCACTTATGTATATAATATATTGAATTATATGAAAAAATATTGTTGATTCCATCTTCTTCTTCCCCTCAGGACTGACAGTAACATACTACGAGTATCTTAGGTAATTTCAAAATACTTCAAACTAGCTTAAAGCAAAATTGATTATTATTGCATTGAATTGTTAACAAATATCTAGTTTATAGTTAACGCTTTAATATTTATACATTCGTATTAGTTACGTTGTGAAATATCTCTATCTCCATCACCATTTGATATGAAATTAAAAATTCGACAAGCAAATATTGTAAATAGAATTCGGCCTTTTCGGTGCGTAATAAAATTTCGTGTGAGCTTTTCATACTATCCACAAATTTGATATCAATCAAATTATTAGTAACAAATGTAATTTATAGAAGAAAATAAAGAGTGCATGTCCCTAGCTGCCTTGTTTCTTATAAAATCTATAGATATTATTCAGTTTTTATTCTATGTCTATTGTAGTCATACTAAGCCACTGGACCTACTGGAATGTAAAGGAACGGAAAGGAACGGCAAAGTTTGTAAAGGAAATAATATTGATTTGGTACAATGTTGAAAAATAAGAGCTGCAAGGAAAAGCCGGTACAGGCTAGCTGACGCCAGTTATAAATATTGGTATTTTTTTACTATAAAACATTTGATAAATTCAAAAGGCAGACTGTAGTTGTGTTGTAATATGAATAAACATAACATATACAAATTAGTTTACGACACTCGTTCGTTCGTAATCCTACTAATTGTTTCTTTAATCCATTTAGCCAATAAATTGGCTTAACGTGGCTTAACCTGTATAATTTAATCTAATATTATTAGTATACGAAATTAAAATTATAAATAAAAATAATACTAAAACTTATAATTTTCATCCTCTATGTACTTATCTTTCAGTTCAGTAAATGACTCTACATGGGAAATAATATGTACAAGAGCGGCTTACTTATTTTATTTTAATTAGCATATAAGATCTTTTTAACGGCTTTCTTCATAGCGAGCCCCATGTAGATATGTAAAAACAAATTATATTCTCCTTAACTAAGTTATATTTATTGAAATAACGGAGGGTAGCTTTCTCTCGTTTCGGTGCCGCGTTGAACTCCTATCGCCCGTTACGCCCATCGCGCAAATAACACACATTGTGTACTTACTTAATTTACACTCTTGGCTTTCTTAAAATAAGTTTTATACGAAGTTATAAAAAAATAAGTTATTCTTAAGTATAGTATCATACCCAGTTATCTTTTCTAACAAACAACCTCACCGCTCTGCCTTTTATACAAACTCTAACTCGTACGGGTTAGAACACCACATTTCTACGCATAATTATATACAAGTACATATGACTAAATGGTACACTTATTGTACCTATATTAATTCTATTGAAACTATTAAATTTCAAATTTCTCCACCAATGGTACGTGGTATTAAAATTATGTAAGAAATATTCGCAGGCGAATGAATATACTACTACGACTTAAGTCTTATTACAATGGGATAGCTGGTTAAGAAATGTTCATCAAAAACAATGACACAGAGATAAGCAAACAACCATATATATGTATTAATTTTATATACGTATCTTGTATTTGGGCACCTAATGTTTCTTTTTTATTAAACATCTTCTACAATTTCTGTTTGTACTGGCTACTACTGAAGACTTTCAAGTTTAACAATATTTCATTTTCCGGCTAACTTCAATATGAAGTTCATTCCCATCAAAAAGTCCACTTGCCACTGTCAACGGCCTTCGTGCCCGTTGCGCTCTTTGACCCTTTTGTTTCAAGTTCGCATGACAGGACACATTTTGACGCCCGTTTTGACACATTATCGCCATACGTCAACGACATCTACATACGCTACGCGCATCCGGTACCACGAGGCCGTTTTTTAATAATTTTATGTAATCTATTGTTTTGAAAGCTGACGCGTGTGAATGAACCTCTTTACAAATAATTCACTCGCTTATAATAATGCCGCTTGTTGTAATTATGCTTTTGTCATTGTTAAATCTGAAGTAATAGTTCATTAGCGAACCTGAGAAGGAATTACGTAACGACAATTTTTGTGAAAATATTTTTATATGTACTTATTACAGGATAGGACTTTTACTTTTCACACAAACAAAACAACAATGAAATACAATTGTTCTTTTCCTACGTTTCTACCAACTTTTAATATATAAGCAATTTATTTTATGAATGTACCTATCAATAGAAAAAACGTGTGTGTGTGTACATATGTACGCACGTAAGAAGTTATGCGTCATTGACGTACCAGAACAAAAATAGCTAAATATATCAACCCGTATGTCACAAATTTCTGTTTGTAAAAGGAATGCAGCTAACTTCATCATGTTGCTTTCAGCTAACTTCATCATGTCGCTTTTTGGCTGTTGGTGTGCGAGCGCATCGTAAAAATGTTACTCTCATAATTTTTTCCAAACGTGTCAAAAGAAGTATAACTTCAAAAATGTTCCAAGTTACCGTCGAACACGACAGAAATCGACTTGCGTAATAACAAAAAGAAGATACTTTGTACGATTAGTTCTAGATAAGGAAATTTTAAATGTAGAGTTTTTATTACAACCAAAAGGTTACTAAATGTTGACTTACAAAACGAAAATCCAGCAACGTTTGGTACTAGTTGTGCATATTGCTTCTTTGTACTTAAAATCTACAAACTCTACTTAAGTATTATACAATCTAATTCTTAGTTAGGTAATAGCATTTTTGATACCTAATTTAACATAAAACAATTACATATATATTATATACATTTTATTAATTAATCTAATCAGCTATCGCAGTTGTTATTATTATTATAAAATATATAAATTTTCCGCTTTCAATGTAGCTCTACAATCTAAAGATGAACTGTAATACTTGTAGATTGCAGAATGCACTGAAATCTTAAGTTAAGCAAGACGTTTGCTAACGCTAGCGGGAATATAAAATCTTCTCAACCAGTTCGTGTATGAATGTATCTACACATAATAATTATATGTGAATATTATTAAAGAAAATCTAAATTTGTTCTAGTCTAGTAAATATAAAATTTATTAAAATATGTGAAACCAAAAATAAAACTAAACTATTCCTACATTATATGAAACTTTGATAATGCAGAGCAAGATTTTAAGCAAGCAAGCAAAAGTTAAGGTTTAGGAGAGCTTTAAGGTGTTACATAAAATTATGTAATTCATTATGTAGAAATGTTTTATTACCATGTTACGTACGAGTGTTTGAGGATTTATCCTTTATTTTAATTTTACGAATTAGTAAGGGGTGGATTTATGTTATTATTTTCATATAGTTTATGACCTGGAGAGTAGAGACATAGGCTTCTATCCCACTATGTCAATTTTTATTTAGTGGTATAATAAAATTGTAAAAAGTTACTAAACGTTAGTACCTTAACATAACAAGGGCAAGTTAATAAGGAAGATTAGATTTTTTTTACCTATTAATAAAAATACATTAATTTTACATGTCAACGTTAGTTAAGCGCAGATTGACCAAACGTGTAGAGTTAGCATGAGACTCGGCGAGTTAACAAGCTCAGCCTTTGACACGCACTGTTTATCCACTACGATAACCTACATGTTGATGAATGATGACTGTTGTATCTTACTTTAAAGTAATGCATATTAAACGTAGTTCAACTGCAATTAATTTAATATACTATTAAGCTATAAGTGTTTTGCATCACAATCTTATTTATTTTAAATAAGTATAACTGTTGCTAGTATGTAGCCATTAATGTAATTTATGAATATATTATATATTATAATCATGTTAAAAGTACCTATCTGGATCTGCTAATATATAGGAAAAGTTACGTATTTAAAATATATGCATGTCGCAATTATGTAATTCATCATTAGAAACTGTCATTTTCTTTACCATAAAATTAGGAAATGTATAGCCGCTAAAGCCATTTAAATATGTTAGATTTCTCACAATCACATTTCTAACTTTAACAAAACAATTAAAACATTGTCACCTATCTCTTGCAGGCACCTGTGATTTTACTCGAGTTTACCAGCACGTAGCAGAAATTAACTAAAGAGAGTGGTGTCAACACTTTCGCCTGTATTGCACGCGCCAAATCTTCTCACGGTGAAACCGTGCGAAGAAAAGTTCCGGGAAAATGTTCTTTATCACAATAAACAATAAGATCCAATGCGGCAGATGAGCAATGACAGCAAGGGTGTTCTCAACGAAAAATGCGAAATCTCCACCAAGAGTTCGCTTAAAATGGTTCCAGACAATATACATTTTAAATATATTTTACATGCTGTGTGTCCAAACGGTATCTGCGAATAGGCCACCGCGGTTTCTTTTCGATGGACGCTCAGAAATAGTTTTAAGATTAAAGGAAGGGCCTGACACACCTGTTGGTAAGTTTTTACGTATTCTTCAAGTTGTGCTGTAATTACATATTGCCTTCTTAAGTTCATCAGGGGCTTACTTTTATGCTTCCGAGTATCATAACTTATGATATATACAGATATTATATATCGCATTTACTTTATAGTTTATAATTTTAATTAAAGATAAAATTTAGTTGTTTCCGAAAAAAGTTTCACAATGACTTTTAATAATAATCTATATATATTACATATAATAAAATTGTAACCAAGCCGAATCTGTACATTTAATATTTTTTGGAAAATCTTATTGATATAGACATTATTATCGATACAGAGGCCGAATCTATAGTTTTTAGAATTTTTGTCTGTCTGTTTGTCTGTTACCGCATCACAGAAAAACCACTGGATAGATTTTGATGAAATTGAGCCGGTGAGAGCCGGTTATCCGGGTCAACATATAGGACACTTTTTACCGCGGGAAAATGTCGCATTTCTGAGAAAAAATGCAAAAACTGCAATATAAGAGTATACTAATCTGTAAAACCTAAGAATTTGGTTTTTGGTCATCAGAACGTAGTCGGAGCCGCGGGTAATGCTAGTAGGTACTTAATATTATATTGAAATATGAAAGTTAAAGAACTTTTATAAACAAATACAATCTACTTTGAGTAATTTTACCTTAAGTTAGGAAGAACGAATAACTAAAATCAGCCAACTTACCACGTTTGAGTGGTATCATGACAGGACCGACATCCGGAAATTGCTTTGAGGGGGAAGTGGTGTTACCAAGACAACCTGTACCCAACAAGGGAAGCCGTACATTCCCGCTTACCTGGAATTCGAAACTAATCATTACATATTAGTCATCGTCGATAATTCCGAAGGAACTTGCTTTTCAATCAAATTCACGCTTATTACTTATAATAATTTATCGTGGGTAAAATATTATCGCTTAATATAAACTTAAATTCAATCCAAGTAAATAATTTATTTTATTCTAAAATTATTTATCCATGCCTTACAAGTTAGACCTATTATTGATCCTAAGCTGTCATATCGTACATCTGACTGTGTCACATTACAATGAATGAATTAGTAATATAATCACTTTAGATCTTTAATGATAATTTCATCATGACTTTAATTACTTTTAATATAAGGATAACAATTTATTAAAAAGGGACCTATAACAATTTTTTGTTAATTTCAGGGAGTTTAATATACCGCTTAAGGGGCGTCGACCCCGATGGCGACACATTGCAATTCGGAATACGAGAGCAAGTCGGTAGTGATATATTAAGAATAGAAGCCATTTCGTCCAACGAAGCTAATATTTATTTAGTTAAGGAATTAGATAGAGAAGTAATTAATATTTTATTTATACTTATTTAAGCTTTTTTAGTTTTTGACTTTGAAGTTTGTATGGTACCTATTTATAAAATCATTAGTTTCTTATATAATTTGCTACAGAAAAAAAATCAAACAATGAAAAGTTTTTTTCTTCTAGGTACGCGATGAATACTCATTTGTACTAACGTTAACTGATGGTCACTTGGGGGAGGGTAACTTTATCACGCAAAGTTTCCTGCTATTAGTCGAAGATGTAAACGACAACGAACCTGTATTTAAACCTTATCCCTCTGCAATAACTGTTAAAGAAGACGCACCGCCCGGTGTTTTGCTTACCGTAGAAGCAACAGACCTTGACGAAGGAGCTTATGGACAAGTAAATTTCATTTCATTTAACAATATTTTTGTTTGTTAATTTTTCATTATTTCAATAACTCAGTCTAGTGTAATGTAATAAATTAAAAATCTAAAGCTGAGCAAAATATCGAAACTTAACATGAATGAATGAAAATCATCTTCCATATAAAACACATCCTGTATAGATAAATAAAATTGAAGTGTCTGTTTGTAATGTTAAAATAACAGCTTTTTTACACTTGACATTTTGACATACAACGTTACATATAAGAAAAACACAATTTAAAAAGGTTTTGTCTATCTGTCTGTTCCGGCTAATCTCCGAAACGGCTGGACCGATTTTGACGGACCTTTAACTGACAGATAGCTGATGTTATAAGGAGTTAACTCAGGCTGCTTTTATTTTCGAAAAAGAATTAGGGTTCCGCTTAAAAAAATTAAAATGTACCTAGGGACGCATCCGAGCGAAGCGAGGCTAAGTCGCTAGTAAATTATATTTTTTACCACTACACGCTTATGTTATGCTTAAAACGTATTTTTTTAAACGTGTAAAAACTAAAAAGCTATATTATAAACTAAAAAGCTATATTATATTTATGTGTTATGTACACTCTAGATCTCTGTGACTATTCGATTTTTTACATGGTCAAGGTATTCTAATAAACGTCAATGTCAAATTTGTTTATGTTTTTCTCAATTCAAGTGTCTATATAATTGAAAAATATTTTTTAACAACTTTTTTTTTCACTAATCAACATGCTATTCTAGGTTTTGTACAATTTGCAAGAATTAGATGGCGATGTGGATAACTTTGCTATTCAAACTGTAAATGGAAAAGGGGTGATACGTTTAACAAACCGGTTAGATTATGAACAAAAATCGTTGTATCAATTGCGAGTTCTAGCAGTAGATAGAGCGAACCAAGGGAGAGTAAATACGGGTACGGCTGCTATATTAGTTAAAGTTCAAGATATTGAGGATCAACCTCCTGAGTTTATCGTCGCAAGTCCAGTTACGAGGATTAGTGAAGATGCACCCGAGGGAACTTCAGTATTACAAGGTAATTTGGTGACTTTATTAATGTGTACATTTATAAAACTAAATAAGTTCTGAAACATCTAGCTATATTATAATTTAAATTTGTTATCTATGTTATAGACGTTCACATAGATACTTTTCATTTCAAGCTAACATTATTACTTCTTTGTTTAATCAAAACTTACTCGAGACCACTTACAGCAATAAGACTGACTTGACTGCTGCCTCAGTAAACTTTTAGTCAATATTTTTTTGTTTTACCATTAGTAATAATAATACTTATGATAATTCCAACATTTATCCTAATTTAAGTGACTCATAACTACATTTTTTTACAGTTCGGGCAATTGATGGTGATAGAGGGATCAATAATCGAATCTCCTACAGTATCATATCTGGTGGAGAGGAGCATTTTGATATTGATAGCAGCTCTGGAATTGTTTACACTATTAGTCCATTAGACAGAGAAGATCCTAATAATAGCAATGGAGCTTACATATTGGAAATTTTGGTTTGTTATTTAAAATAAAAATATTTTACTCCAATGAATTTATTCCATAACACCTAATTGGTTTAATAATGAGCAAATTGCTATTTATGTAATACTCCTACATTATGCATTTTTTTATTTACAGGCCACAGAAGAATCTCACATGGTCTCGCCCTTGCCAAGTGCTACTACTGAAGTAACTGTTATAATAACAGATGTGAATGATGAAAAACCAAGATTTCGCAGTGAGAGATATGTTGGAGAAATCATAGAGAATGCTCAACAAAACACACCTATAACATTCCTTCAAGATGCTGTACCAGAAGTGTTTGATTACGATCAGGTAGAAGAAAGTCATCTATACATATAATAAGATTCCAATTGAGTTGAATCTGTACATTAAATATTTTTTGGAAAATCTTATTGAAATAGTGATCATTATCGATACTAAGACTGAATCTATAGTTTTTAGAATTTTTTCCATCTGTCTGTCTGTCTGGGAATGACAGATTTTGATGACATTTGGTAGGATGACAGCTGGTAATCTGGATCAATATAAAGGATACCTTTTACTGCAGTAAAATATCTTATCTCTGAGAAATCTTTACTAATTGTTAAAATGTACCTAGGGAGTAGGGACGAACCCGAGAGTGAGTGACTAGTATAATAATAATCTATAGCTTATAGATATTTCAATAAAGTTACTTTTAAAAAAAATTATTCATTTCAGGGTAAAAATGGAACATTTGAACTCTATTTAGTAGGTGATAAGGGTGTTTTTGATGTGACACCATTTAAAGGTATCAATGAAGCATCTTTCTTAATAAGAGTAAATGATCCGTTATACCTGGATTATGAGGAAGTTACAGTCATGAATTTTAGTTTAGTAGCTAAAGAAATTGTTGCTAAACAACCAAAGATGAGGTAATTTACACAATAATTATTTATTTGCAACATTCACATTGTATTAAATATTGTTGTGTGTTATAATTTTAAATGTATTTTTAGTTAGATATAATATTATTTAGCAGACTCAACTATAAAAAAATCTTACAAATTCTTAATAAACTTTTCATTGTAATAAAATTATTTATTTCAGTGTAGTTCCAATAACAGTGCATATAAAAGATGAGAATGACAACTTTCCTGAGTTCACTGAATCTTTATATGTAGTTTCTGTGCCTGAAAATTGTGGAGTTGGTACAACTGTAGCGTGGGTGCAAGCATTAGATCAAGACTCGGATAACTATGGTACAAGAGGTGTTAGATATACCAATCTTGGTGGAAGTATTGCTCACTTGTAAGTTTATTTTGTTGTTAGCACTGTAGTTAGCACCAAATTGGCATAAACTATGTTTTTTGAAATTTCTTAAAGGTACCTAAAACATTACTTATGTATTATGTTCTTTTTTACTAGACTTTTTAGTAACTTCTCAACTGTAATATAAAATATTTAATTCACGTATATTATGTATGTATCATCATGCCAGAACTTAGTATAATTTCAAACAGTAAACACTTTTTGCTCAAAATAAAAAATAGCCTTTAGCACTCGGCGTTAATATAGTTCCCTAGTCGTTAAAGAATTTTCATTATCAGACCAGTAGTTTCAGAGATTATCCCCTACATACAAACTGACAAACATTACCTCTTTATAACATTAGTGTAGATTATATCCTTTATATTTGCAGATTACATCTTAACCCCATATCAGGCGTGATAACTGTAAGGGAAGCTGGCGATGAAAACTTTGATCGAGAACTTGTGTCGAGACACTACCTCACTGTTGAAGCAAGAGATGATCAGGTAAAAATGGCTTCTAAAAGTAATTGCTAGTAAAATAAACAGAAATGTTGATAATACTGTCTTAAATATTTATACAGATATTTTCGAAGTCGATGCCAGCCGATACAAATCAAAGCACACCGACTTCGAAAATATCTGATTAGCTATCTACAATGTCTGTAAATGAAATCTACTATAAAATTAATAAAATAATTGTTTTTTCAGGGTAAAGGTAACAGAAACACAGTACAATTAATAATTAATATAGAAGATGTGAACGACAACGCACCGATGTTCCTTGCAAATAAGTACGAGGCGAGATTGTTGGAGAATGAACTCGAATTTGAAAACCCTCTTTTTCTGGAAGCAAGAGATATTGATTTAAACGGTAATAAATTTAGTTATAGACACAAATATTATTATTGTTTGATTAATATTTTTAATTATGACGTATTCACTCCAATTTTTTGTTGTTAGAATTTAGATGTCTCAATATCTTAAATTTTTGCTGCTATATATTGTAAAAGAAATAGATTTTAATACAATAAAAGAAAATTTTTTGGGAAAAAAAATCTGTATTATTGTACTAAATTGCCCAACAGTATTTTTAAAAAGAATAAAATTCTTAATAGAAATATGTCTTAAATGTAATTTGTTTATATTTACATTCACATGTATGTTAAAGATTATAAATTATTAGCGTATCATTTTAAATCACAAATTATACTATGACAAAAACTGAAAGTAGAAAACAACAAGATTGTATTTAGTTTATATCTATACTAATATTATAAAGAAGCAGAGTTTGTTTGTTTGTTTGGACGCGCTAATCTCAGGAACTACTGATCCGATTTGAAAAATTCTTTTTGCATTAGATAGCCCGTTTATTATTATCAAGGGAGCGGACCAGTAATCATAAATGTCAACAAATTGGGCAAACCATACATTATTACTAATAGCATAAAGTCAAAAAAGTTTTTTTTGTAGTTTTAGCGCGAACGAGGTCGCGTATTCTGCTAGTATAAGATAAATATTAAAGGAATTTATTGGTTATATATTTACTTTAAAGGAACAAAAAACAGTCACATAGAATATTCAATAGTTGGTGGCGATTACAAGAATAACTTCTCGATCGATCCACACCTCGGTATCATAATTCCGTCGGTCGCTGTGGACTTCGAACAGATTCCCGGGGACAACAGCAATATACGACCTATACATTTAACTGTAAGTTACATAATAATGCTCTTAACTGTGTGTAACTTTTAACAGGCTGTCTTGTCTTTTCTTATAATAATGTGTAAATTGTCATAATAGAGAAGTCGCATGTTTTCTAATTATTATTTTCAAAGCTTATTGAAAATTGTTAAAAAAAAATAAAAATTTAACAATTGATTTTTCTTGTAATTTTACGATTAAAAGTATTTTTTTTAATGTAAATTCAAACGCCAGTGACGTCATTATATCGCTTTAGTATGGCAACGCATAGCGAAATGATAAAACACATGCTTGCGTTGTCAAAATCAAAAAAGTTTTCATCACATAACACAGGTTATATTGTTTTGAAATTATTTAATTGACGTAAAAATAATTTGTTACAACACATGGTGTCGGATCACCTTAAAGAAAATACAAAAGTATATTATGATTGCGATTGGCTCACAGCCTCAACGGATATAATGACGTCACAACCAATCACAAGTCGTTTTATTTTGTTTAAAAATTTCGGTAACAGTTTTTTTTATTAATAATTACTAAAAAAATGGAACTTTTAATAACAAAAAAAATATTTAAATATGTTTTAAATATATTATTATTCTTTCATTTTTATATAAATTTCTGGCAAAAAAATAATAATGCAACTTCTCTATTAATAAATAAATACGATTTTAAAAATGTATAATATATGCTTTTGACGAAATTCAAGTGCCGTAATGTTTGATAGTTGTCAAAACATAACAAGTGAACCTAATCTCTAAAATGTTATAAGGGACTATTTAAAAAATTTACTATCCACATTTACTATCTACATTAGCTGATTAGATTGTTAGTCACATTATTGTATCGCCATTCAGATAAGAAATGGCCTAAAACCAATTCCCAATTATGCATTTTAAATGTGGTGATGTTAAAATTCTTTTCGAATTTCTATTAAAGTTTGAAAACGTAGTAGTAGAAAAAGTTCCGAATGCTTTACAGAATTCATGGTCACGGAAGAGATTACCGTCATTGGTGTCGCAAAAGTTAAAGCATTCGAAACGTCAAGAAACACAAATCAAAATAAATCCGCGAAAAAGTCCGAAAAGATAATTTTATTTAAAACATCTAATATTATTGAATAATATCTATTAATTTCCGTTAAAAGGTGCTCGCTCGAGATTTCGGCGTGCCGCCGCTGTCGTCCACAGTGCCGGTAACTATATACGTACAAGACGTGAACGACCACGCGCCGCTCTTCACACAGACCGTGTACCGGCGCGCCATCCCCGAGGACATGCCTGGTGGCACTAGTGTGCTAGAGGTGAGTGTGTTTACATAAAAATACAAAAAAATATTATAAAAAATTGGACAAGTGTGAGTCTGACTCGCACAGAGGTACATTAAAAGAAAAATAAATATTTACCCAGCTACAACATTTGATTTTTGCAATAAAAATAAAATTGTATTTGATAGTATTATACCGAAAATAACGCAATCTCAAAAACTACTGCAACGCAATTCAAAAATATACTTTATTCTTCGACTTAAAAAAAGAGAAGGTAATTAATTTCGATGTACGTTTCATTTTTTTGTCACCATCCATCCGTTTACAACTTCATCAGGTGTAAACGAATATTAATGATTTTTTTTAAATGAACTGGTTAGCCTAAAGGATATAAAACCTACACAATAAAAGAATTACTAAACTATTAAATGTATATATTATAATTTATATTTAAAAAAGATTAACATTCTTCATATTTTTATATTAAATCCAAAATGCAGGTTAAAGCCCGAGACGGAGATGGGTCGTCGCCAAATAACCGTATAGTGTATCGGATACAGCGCGGCGCGAGCGACAAGTTCGTGATCGACTCCCGCACGGGGCTGGTGTCGGTCGCTAACGGGTCCAATTTAGACCCGGATAGGACCGACCCGAAAACTACCCGGTATACTTTGACTGTGGTAAGTTTTACCTGTAAAGCAAGTTTTTAGAAGAGTGAGATATGTTGACCTTACAATATCTCAATAACCGTTTGAACTGTATTTATGAAATTGGGGATTGTAGTTAATTTCAGGAAATTTAATAAATGAACCAAATTTTATTATTTTATATTAAATATATTTTGAGTTATTACGAGGTGATCGTGGCTTCAAATGGTTCGTGTAAATATACACACGGTGCTGCGTCGCCAGTTCCTATGGTTTGAACTTGGCTGGACACACTACCGCGTGTCTTGATGTACAGTCAATAAATTATCCAAATACTTTTAGGTGGCACTGGACGGAGGTATCGGAGATCAACAATTAAGTTCATCTGTAATCGTAAATATTACTATAGTGGACGTGAACAATAAACCGCCGATACTTCTAGAACCCGGAACTGTACATGTTATGGAGAACACACAGGTAAGTTAATTTAAAGTAAAAGCCTATAATTAATATGAAAACAAACCCGATAGCTTAGAATCGCGAGAGTTTTAAAAAATCCTAGTTACCAGCAACCTTTTCCAGACAATTTTAGTTTAGAAGAGAGACTAAAAAAAGGGTAGGGGTGTATAATGTAAATATCTTAAATTATAACAGGATGACTGCAATTAATAGATGTTTTAATATTGTTCTTCTTCTACATATTTCAAATTAAAGCTTAGTTTGTGTTTGGTCGAGCTAATTTCAGTAACTAATGTACGGATATATTGAATTGAGTTGGTAAAAATCTCTTCTAATAGCATAAATCTATCTATAGTATGTCTATTTTAAAGACCTAACTTATTTATTTATTTAATTGTATCAGGTCGGAACACCAATATTCAGAGCTCAGGCATACGATTTGGACGAACAACCGGTGTTACGGTTCGCCATAGACAAGGCGTCTAGTTACGCGAGGGACGAAGACGGTATACCGGTACCGATAACAGAATATGACTATCTGTCTCTATGGGATTTGAATACTGTTGATGGTACTTTGAAACTTATTAGGTAAGTAGATTTAAAAAAAATAGGTGGTCAATTCGAGTATATTCATTTTTGACCGACTTCAAAAAGGAGGAGGTCGATTTAGTAGTTTTTTTTAAATGTCGTGTGTTGTTGTGTGTTGTGTCATGTTAATGCGATATCTTCGCCAATTTTGCGCTAATTTACCAATAATATGTTCTTAGTTGGTCGTTGTTGCAATGCATTTGGAACGTCTGGGACCAAAAATCAAAATAGATCCACGAAGAAATCTGGAAAGATAATTTTGTTAAAACGATTTTCCGCTCTTAAGGGTCGAATAATAACGTTTAGAATATTTAGTCAAAAATAATAATCATTGCTATATATAAAATTTTGCATTAACATATTCATACATTTTAACAGCATCTAACAATTTTATTTCGCATAGATAGGTAGATATGATTACTAAAAAGTTATCATCAAAGCAAAAACTGAAGTTCAAATGATACTCTTAAATTAAATAAAACATACGTATGTATATTATAAAACTACATATTTACAGTTTATTATTACATTGTTTCAGATTATTAGATAGGGAGAAAGTTGAAATTATAAAACTAGCGATCACAGTAGAAGATATGGCAGCTATAGACGACGGTCCGGAACAAATTGCCCAAGAGATACTGACAATTGTCGTAGAGGATGAAAATGATAATAATCCGAAGTTCAGAAAACCATTCTATAAAACATCCATAACAGAAAACTCTAAGAACGGATTGCATATCGAAACTGTGACAGCCGATGATGCAGATAAGAATCGGACTATGACGTATTTTCTCGAAGGTAATATATTGTGTTATAGTTTAATTGATAACTAATTTTCGTTTGACATTGACCCATTTTGATAAAAAATGTTTTTTTTTATAATAATTATTATTATTCTCATCCAAATTACATGGAAGAAGTAATATTAAAATTCATGTTTTCTCTATATTAATAATATTTAAAAAATCAAATTTATGTTTTTTATTTTTTTAATCAATTCACTAATCTAAAGTACACTTAAATATGTAGTATAATACTACTACTACTAGTACTACTTTCTAAGACTGCATAATGTATAAATTTATCTTTGGTCACTTAGTATTTACTTTTATACTTTTAGTTCATAATTCCCTTATGATAGTTAACCGCTCTTTCTATTAATGAAAACCGTATTAAAATCTTGTTTAGAAAAAGTATGCGGATAAACAGACAGACGCAATAATTTTGTTTTGTATTAACTTGTATACATGTACCATTTCCTAAGACTTAACTGAACATACAGACACATAGATTATTATTTTTTTTTCAAAAACAACTGCGAAGAATTTACTTCAATGTAAACAAACAAACAAAAAATGATTTGTAATATAAAATCATTTCGAAATAGTATTAAAGTCACGTACAATAGGTGCTGAAGAGTTAAGAAGTCTCTTACATTTGGAGAGTTCAACGGGCGAGTTGGTGGTCGCTAACAAAATAGACCACGAAATATATTCCTGGTTGAATATAACCGTCAAAGCTGTGGACAGCGGGGTCCCGCCGAGGTATGCTGTGGTGGATATGTTTATACAGGTTTGTTTTTGTTAATATCTATAAGTTTTAAAATTTTCGCGTTCCATAATTATATAGTATACCAGCTATCACCATACCAAATTTCATCAAAATCCCTCCAGTAGTTTTGCCGTGATGCGGTAACAGATAGACAGACAAAAATTCTAAAAACTATAGATTCGGCCTCCGTATCGATAATAATGTCTATTTTAATAAGATTTTCAAAAAAATATTTAATTTACAGATTCGGCTTAGTTACAATTTTATTATATGTATAGATAATAAATACACCACGGGACGTAAATGTGTGAATTCGTAAATGGCTGACTCAGAATATGTATATTCGTGACCACGGCTGGTGCAACCCCGACTGGGTCGAAACATCGGGAATGATGTATTTAGCCACTTACGTGTTTAATGCCCGATTTCAACAACCCGTAAGCCTTAACCCATAACCTACGTATGGGATCCCTGGCTTAAAATTCCCCTAAACAAGCCCCTAAATTAAATCTCGTTTTACCATCGTCTTTAAGCCCATATTTCGAGCACCTAAATTTAGGAGGCCTTTTAACATTTAGGTGACCCCTAACTGTCGGTGAAACAGAAACTGTCCCCTAACCATGCTTAGGGGGTCCCTTAAACTTAGGTGATGTTGGTGAAATCTGGCATAAGTCACGTAGTGTCATTATTTCTTAATCCCTCTACGACCGCGGACACGCCGGCGTTACAGTTAACAATAGATTTATTAGAAATTTACCTGGAGGTGTTAATATCTGTTTATTATTTCTATTATTTACAGCGATATGTCGTTTTATTTCTAATTCAATTCTCTTGTTAATAGCTTCGAATCGTGCAGTCGAGCACAGATTACTTCGCCAATGTCAAGTAGAATGGAGAACATTTATTAAATTTATTATTTATAGAGATATGTTGTTCGATTTTCTACGCATAAATAATGTTTGTTGTAAGGAAGTCGATAAATATTCTTAATCAAAAGAGGTGCACTTCAAAATCGCTTTTAATATAAACCCGAATTGAGTAGCTCATTCTTAGCAATTTTACAACATACATACATACATACATACATACATACATACATACATACATACATACATACATACATACATACATACATACATACATATATATGTTACCACATTGATTCTAACAAAAGAAATCCCAATTTATGCAATACATTATCCATTTGAAAAATTAGTCCATTTTTAAACATATACTTATATGATGATACTCTTCTTAGCTTACCTAAATAAACCACTTCTATCCCGGTCATAGTACAGACTATGCGTTATGCACACACACAGCTAGCTGTGTACTTAATTTCATTTAAATCCATCTAGCATTCGTAGAGTCATTTTAGCATGAAGGAGTATCAAACATATCAAACAAAAGACACACACGCACACAAACACACACACACACGCACACGCACAGAAACAAACACGCACGCACGCAAACTCAATATGTAATTTTAACATTACTTCTATTTTAAATAGGTGCTAGATGAGAACGATAACAACCCTATATTCGACCCTTCGCCCTTCGAGTACCGTGTGAGAGAGGACGCCGAGCCCGGAACCACTGTAACTAATATATCAGCAAAGGATGCAGATTCCGGGGAATATGGGAAGATTACGTATCTACTTGATCGTGTTTCTACACAGGTTAGTGTGTTTTCTATTTATTATTTATCTAGCAATAATACTTTCTTCTATTTACGTGAATATATGACATTTTTAATATTTTAAATTAAACTGTCCTTTTGAAATTTTCGCGCATTTATTTTGATTTTTAGTTTCCGAAATTTCGAATGCTTTACTTTACATGCAATGTAGCAAGGTTTAAGTGAGAGAGATTTAAAATTATTTGTCTCGGTTAAAATTAAGGTTATTACCTAGGATGGTTTTAAATATTGTAACAGAGCGTTTGATGGGTTGATTTTGAATTTATTATACCTATGAAAATACGTATTAGATTTAAAATGAAAAACATTAAAAAGAATATAATAGACAAAATATAATATGCGTGAATATATAATTCATCTAGTACGTATACGATATTGCACAAAAATGTTTTGAATATCGACCGTCGCGCGTATGTTTTTATTTAATTAATATTTGGTAGCCCTTTTTTGGGAAATGCACTTACGCGTATGTGGGACTCACCGGCTAGAAAAGTACTACCCACTAAAACCCAACAGAACCTACCCGCATCTTAAAGGAGGTATCGAAGGATCGCTGACGAGTGGTGCAAATAAAACGTTTTTCTGATAATACTTTCTTAGTATTATTTATTATCTGAATATTTGACATTTTAAATAAAACAATTTTTTCGAATTTTTTCGCGAATTTATTTTGGCTTTTGGTTCCCGACGTTTCGAATGCTTTACATCAATCATGGTCACGGGAGAAACTAAGGTTTAAGATGTCTCAAAAGCAAATTTTTTCTGATTTTTTTCTTTCTGTTTTTTAATTTCAGGGCAAGTTTCTAATAAACGCGGACACAGGCGCGTTGAAGGTGTCGGATTGGTTGGACCGGGAGGCGCAGACGTCGTACAACCTGGTGGTGGAGGCGTGGGACAATTATCAGTTTGGATACCTCAGTGGGGAGAGCAGGAATGCTTTTAAACAGATAGTGTAAGTTATTTTAATGTTTCTATAGTAAATAATTAGGTATCTAGGTTATACAATATACATATATGAAATATGTCTTAACCTAGTTTGAGCTCCTGGCTCTCCACTCATATAAACTATATAGTTTTTTTTATAAATGTAATATTCTATTGTACTTGTGGAAGAAATAAGTAAATTATTATTATTATTACATTAACAAGTAACAAACTGTATTTTAAGACCAAGTGGTCTTTGATTTTTCGATTTTTTCGATTTCACTTGAAAAAAATTATTTAATGAAAAGATTTTTTTTTAGATTATGATAATCAGAAAATGTTTTATTTGCAGTATTCACTCTTTTCCAATTTTATTTCAATATGGAGTACTTGATTACCTATTTACATGATATTTCCAATATTGACCTTAGCGCCTTATATTTCCACAGGGTGTACATAGAAGATGTAAACGACAACCCGCCGGTGTTAAATCTGCCAACAGAATGCGCCACCATCACTGAGTTTCACAACTATAGGGAACCCATAGTGTCCATATCCGCTACAGACGCGGACGATAACAACACGCCTAATGGGAGAGTGCAGTTTCATTTGGTCGGTGGGAAAGGACATGGTATGTATGAATCTTCTATACAGATAAATAATTGAAGTGTCTGTTTGTAATGTAAAAATAACAGCGTTTTACTAAATGCATATGGAATTATATACGGTATTTATAAGAAAAACACATTTTTTTTTATTTTTGTCTGTCGGTCTGCTTATTCCGGATAATCTGAAACGACTGAATTGATTTCGACGGGACTTTCACGGGAAGATAGCTGATGTTATAGGGAGTAACTTTTATTTTAGAAAAAGAATTAGGGTTTGGCTCAAAAAAATTAAAACGTACCCAAACGAAGCGTGTTCAATAATATATTTTTCCATTTAAGATCTCTTCCGTTTCGAGCAAGTGGGTGGTGACGCGAACACGGGTCGGCTATTCGCCAAACACTCGTTAAAGGATCGTTTTGGTAACTACTCCCTCATAGTGGAGGCGAGAGATCTCGGCATTCCGGCGAACGTTGTGAGAGGGGAATTACATGTCTGTGTGATGGATTTCAACGATCATGCACCTATATTTGTGCATCCTACACAGAATGTCACCATTAAAGTACCTGAGGTTAGTATTTCTTTGTGGAAAATATCGGTTTTTGAATTTTTGTGTAGAATATATCGGTTTATGAAATGGTATGTTTGGAAAAAAATTATGAGAGTAAAATTTTTATTAATCGCGCGAACACCGAAAGCCAAAAAGCGACGTGATGAAGTTGGCTGTTTTCCTTTTACAAACAGAGAGTTGTTACGCCAAAGAACGTTAACGGCCTTAATTCGGATACATTATTTGCAATATTTAATATTACCCAATAGGCAGTGGTAACACCCTCGCTTGGGAAACCAAATGAAGCGGGTTTAAATCTAAATTTTTGTCTGTCTGTCTGTCTGTTTTTTCCGGTTAATCTCCGAAACGGCTGGACTGATTTTGACGGTACTTACATTGGCAATTAGCTGATGTTATAATAAGTAACTTAGGCTAATTTTATGTTACAAAAGAATTAGGATTCTGCTCAAAAAATTAAAACGTACCTAGGGACGCACCCGAGCGAAGAGAGGGTATCTCGCTAGTATAATATTCAAATTCAAAATATTTTATTCAGCATTAAATTATTACATTTTTTTTACTAAACCTCATGAGTCTACTACCAGTTCGGAAAGAAGAAGCCTTACCTGAGAAGAACTAGCGAAAGAAACTCAGCGGAACTAATATTCATTTTTTCATTATCTTTTTTTATAAAGTTAAATTATAAATTACAATATTTCTATAAAATTGAAGTAGCCTGGAGGCGACCACTTCACTACCAAGGCGTGCCATCTTCAATAAAATCATTAATTGTATAATAGCCTTTAGCATACAAACGTATTTGAACAATTCTTTTGAATTTGTCGATAGTAAAAAATATTAAAAAAAAATGTTTATTCCAGAACGCAACAATAGGTAGTACAGTTGTGGAAGTGCACGCGATAGACGCGGACGTGGGCCCCAACGGCGCCGTGCGCTACCGCCTGCGCCAGGACGACCGCTTCACGCCCTTCACGCTGCACGCCACCAGCGGCGTGTTACGCACTACACGCCCTCTCGACAGGGACAAACAGACTATCTATCAGGTTGGTATTTTTTTTTGAAATGAAAACTTCTATAGGCAGGTTTGGATGGGGAGTGAATTCATGTAAGTCGTCATCGACATGTCACGTGACGTGTTAAAGCTAATGCACTTGGCCAGCGTGGTGGACTATAGCCTGATCACCCTCGTATTGAAGGGAGGCCCACGCCCAAGAGTGGGACGTTAAAAGAACTAAACACATGCATGTGGGATGTTTCTAAAGGGCTGAATAGACGCAGGCGTAAATCCCAATGGCGTTTTAAACCGTCGTAGTTTTAAAGAAGATAAGTACCTAATTATCTTGTCGTTTTTTCGTTAAATTGGCACGATTAGTAGATACTGTACACTGAAAGGTATCGTGATAAAGATAAACAGAATACTTATCTGGTGACGTTGGTTTTGTCATCTGTTTTAGGGTACATCAAAAGGATAAAAGAAACCCTTATAGGATCACTTCGTTGTCCGTCTGTCTGTCTATCAAGATCTTTTTTCTCAGCAACGCGTGGAGGTATGAAGTTGAAATTAATATCAAATACTCGGGTTAGTAAAAATCCGAGAACCGTAAATTTGTAGTTCTATTTATCACTTTGTTTTTGCGGTTATAAATTTATTTTGATGTTTCACGTTACGGAAACTGGTCCTTCGAGCCGGATCATATGACGGGGACAGTGCCCTGGACACTTCGTGATAGGGAAAACTGACCACCCTATAGAGAATAATTAAAGAGTGGACTGTACTTAATTAGTTTATTAGATAAATACTACACAGAGTGGTAACTCGACAATATATTAAGCGTTTCGTAACGTGACTTAAAGTCGTTCTCCCGCGCGTCCAGCGATCCGCAGCTTTTTTAGCGCCGTCCCGCACCCCCCTATCCTAAAACTACGCGATGCATAAAGTCGCTCACACAATCACGGCGCAACCTTGTCTTTACCATATACTCCCGGCGTTGAAGAGACATCTTCAATGTTTGATGTCGGTAAGGGGCATATTGTGTTAAAGGCTCGCCTGATTACTCCCTTCCATGTACGGATGTCAGCGACCCTGGCAACTCCAGAAACCTCGATATGAGATTCAGACTCGTACACTTTTACTTCCTACGTACTACTACTACGTACTTTTTTAATGAAGTTCGCGCAATGGACGTAGATGTAAGATCCAACGGTGCTGTGCTCTCCATAATGAAAATATATAGTACGTAGTTTACAAGACGACTTTGTGATGTCGATACGCGCTTGTCACGGAATTATAGCGATACGAATGTCAGTAATCTGTATCTTTAGAGTTTCGCATAAAATTGTGCCAACGGAACCCTATTTTTCACATAGTGTATATTTCTATCATAACAACAAATAACAAAAATGAATTTAAAAAGTACATAGTGTTATATCTTGTAGGATGGTATGCAACCGTTCGTATGCGAGTCCAACTCGCACTTGATCGGTTTTTTTTTAAGTTTATCAGCTCAGAATATGCGCAAATGACGTACGATTATGATACGCGCGTCTTTGGCGCACTTATAAAACTTTGCGTACAAAAAATGCTTACTTAAGGGGGTGAACATGGGAATGAAAATTTGCATTAGGAAGCAAGCCAGGGACGAACCCGAGCGAAGCGAGGGTGAGTCGCTAGTAATATATAAGTATGTATTAGCATTGGTGTAACAAAAATATGTATGTACATATGTATCGCAACGATTACAATTTACAATAAACATACCTACTATGTTGCAAAAAATGGCACGTTTCTATTTCACACTGTTGTTATGATCAGTAATGAAAAATGCATTATATTAATTAATTATGAATACAATGACTACTCACTTATTGTAATACATCCGTGTTCTATCGTTGTGATTGTTATGATGCAATATTCTTATCTTTTTTTATAATATACATATTCAGTATAGATATTGAAAGTTTAAGTAAGAATTAAATATTTGAATGAGAAATAAGTTAAATTATTATTTTACATATTATTTAATTTATAGTGCTTGTTAGTATTTACTTCGTTTGTTGATGTTTTACAAATTAATTATATTTTTTCTTTTGTCTTAGTTAAGAATAGAGGCATACGACCTTGGACTCCCGACTCCGCTCAGTTCCGACCTGGATTTAACTATATATGTACAGAATGTCGACAACTACCGCCCCAGGTTCCCATACAAACACATAAATTTGAATATAACTGAAAATATGCAAAATTATAGTACGTATTTACCAAGTGTCATAGAGAGGGATGAAATAGACAGAGGAGACGAACCGGTGTTGCCAGTCTGCTTTTATATTGTGGACGGCAATGACGATGGCATGTTCGATTTGGAGAGAAATACTCATAGGTAATTATTGTTTACTGTTTTTATTATATATTTTTTCTATTTATTCATTTCGGGTCAAATATTTTACAATTTTGAACTTTTAGGAATGAAAAATAGCAATAATGGAAGCTTCAACCATCTGAGCTTTTATACGATATTATTGTCATGGATTAGATTTTTCTATCCTTTATAAAATCAATGTGTCTTCCGATCACTAAGAAATCCATATAAATGTGGAAGTATGTTTGTTTGTTTATCCTTCTTTCACGTCGAAACAGAGTGATAGATTAGCGTGATTTTGTGTGGAGATAGTTGAAGGGCTGGACAGTGACACAGGTCACTTTTTACCGCGGGAGATTATCTCATTCCCACGGGAAAACATAATACAACCCAAAACGACTCATTCTACCTATGTATTTATATGATACATATAGTCTATCTATTCCATACTAACCGTTAAAACTTACCTATTTAAAATTAAAAATATTTAAATTAAATTAAATATAATTAAAATTATAAATTATATAAAATAAACTATAAATAAATTTAAACATTGTGTCATATAAATTGTTAAATGATGATGATGATGTTCTCCTAGCCGATTCCGGCCACGGCGGCCAATCTCAATGAGATTAGCCAACTGCGCAGGAGATATTATAGTGCTCAAGTGTACGCGCAGACACAAGTGCACTCTCTATTCCTATCACTCTCATACTCCGGTGGGACGACCACTCGACACTCGCGGTGAGAGTATCGGCGCAGGACCGACGGCTTTACGTGCTCTGCCTCGGCACGGGGGTGAAACACCGCCAACTTCCCAACTCCGGGCTGTTACTGAGACTTACTATACAGGAAGACTCAATAACTAAACTTGGCCCGACCCGGGACTCGAACCCAGGACCTCCGGGTGTGCAACCGTACATGCTAGCCACTACACCACCGAGGCAGTTATAAATTGTTAAATATCCTATAAATATTATGTTACTTCAGATTAACATCAAAAGCCTTGGATAGGGAAGTTAAATCCCAATACTCACTGACAATACTAGCTACAGAAGACTGTTTGTCCAAACCGACATATGATGAAGATTTAGACGGTATAAGTACTTTGAATGTGCACGTAATAGTTAACGACTTGAATGATAACAGTCCAACGTTTGTGAGCAAAATTTTCACTGGAGGAGTGACTACTGAGGCCGATTTTGGTATAGAATTCATGCATGTTAAGGTAAGAAACATTACCATTAACATTATTTATGTAATTAATATTTAAAATAGTGCTTTTTGTTTTGTTTTTGGAACAAAGTATTTTAGCAGATGAGAGCTAGACAGAAAAAAAGTGTAATATTTTGACCGTCACGACACTTTTTATTATTTACTAATATCATGTAACTTATAATAAGTGCCAGACAATCATGACTGTTAAGGAATGTATGTTGTAAGAAGTTTTGTGAGCACTCTGTGCAGGCCTTTCTTCGATTAACTTCAACTTGTACAGTGTGCGTTTCTTGATTTTTATGATAACCTAATTTATGAGCTAAGGGCATAAAATGAAACCGGGTTTTCCAAGACACCTCCCGACTTTTTTTACTTTTGTATTAGCTTCACTTATTTTAGTAAAACTTACTATGTAAACAAATCATGAAAGAATTGCCTTAATAATTATAAGTTTGTCGATTTGAAGCTTTGTAATTCTATGGGGCCTAGACGACAATACAATGATTTGACAACATTAAACTGATCTTACAATGAAGCCAAAAAGCACACAGGTTTTTTTAATGGCTAGTAATAAAACCTTCGAATTTGAACTCATTTAATACGTTTTGTCGAGTCCCGTACATTTTACCGAAGAAATCATTTTTTAATCATTTTCCTTTCTTAGGCTATAGATTTGGACGAAGGCATCAACGCAAAAATTAATTATTATCTTCTTGGCGAAGTAAAAGAAACTTTAACAGAGGGTTTGGAAAACTTAGCAGTATCGCCTTTCTTGGTGAATGTTGAAACCGGCGCTGTTTCGCTAAACTTCGACCCTCAAAAGGGAATGAAGGGCTATTTTGATTTTAAGGTAACTCACAAATTCAATCCAATTGTCTTATCTCTACATTATCTATATATTTATTTATTCTAATTTAATAGTGATAAAGTTATTTGTATGGCTTTAAGTTTGGTTATAGAATCTTATCTCTAGATTTGTTGATATAAACGCAATAAATGTAGCACTCAAAAAGCCTGTAAGTTATAGTTTCTCATCCTAGAGTAAAAAACGTAACCGTACGCTTACACTTATTTAATGATGAGAAACAAACACACTTTCAAACTTTCACATTCATAATATTCCCTATTGAAAAACTCCAATATGACCTCATCAAAAGCGACAAAAGCCACATAGAAACCAATAAAAACACCAAGAAACCAATAAATATGTATTGGTTTCTATACAGTGGCTTTTGTCGCATTTGATGAGGTCCTATTGGAGTTCTTAAATAGGGCTAATACATCTAATCCATAGTCTCTAACAAAGACAACTGGGCCAAATCTGCGGGAAGTGCGAAGACGAGACGCGGGTGAGACGTGTATCCGACTGTTATAGGTTCTTTGATATAACAATCGGTAAACGGCTGTATGATTGATAAATATAACTGTACCTTGCCGTTGGCTCTACAGCAGCTTTAACTTTAATATCGTTCACCATGAAAATTGATAATATTTGATCTTTACATTTGGCAGCATTTCCATTAACATGTAAAGCTATCACCTACAGTATGAAATTTTGAACTAAATTTAAGATTCAACAGAAGTTATATTCGCAGGTATTAGCAAATGACACCGACGGACTGCAAGACGTGGCACACGTTTTCATTTACTTACTAAGAGAAGACCAACGTGTGCGTTTCGTTCTACGCTCCCATCCTTCGGAGATACGAGATAAAATACACACATTCAGAGAAAAACTCGCCCTTGTAACGGAATCTGTTGTGAATGTTGACGACTTGAGAGTACACGAGAACAAAGATGGATCAGTGGACAATACTAAGACTGATCTGTATTTACATTTAGTGAACGGTGAAGACCACTCTGTGTTGGAAGTGGACCAAGTGTTGAAGTTGGTCGATAAGAATATAGAGCAGCTAGATGATTTGTTTAAGGTATGATATTAGTTTTATCTCGATTTATTATTAGTACTGATCGTCTCGTGGTTGAAAATCAACCATAATTTATTAAATTTGATCGATATTGATGAATGAATGTTGAAACGGGCCCATAGATTTACAGATTTGCACGTACAGGCAAACAAACTTTTCATCTTTATATTATGTAAGTACTAGTATAATATTGATGAAGGTTATCTGACATCAAGCTTACACGTTTTAGCACTGAAGTAGTTATATATGAATAAAATACTCGAGCGGATTCGCGGGTAAAAGAAAGTCAATTAATTTTGGCTTTCTGCAGTCCTTCTCTATATAAACTTTAATTATGCCAAAGTTCATACTCCTCCGTACATGCAATTTTCTTAATAAAGGGGTTCAAAGATTTCTCTTCACGTATTAATATATAGATTATTTTGTATCTCTTTCTTACATTTGACAGAATGAAAGAGAATTGTAACTTGGAAATCTTATATGACTATAATATAGGTGCAACATACACTGCAGGTCTTTTTAGAGTGACTCATCCTTCGCTATTTATCTACTAACTATTCGGAATTACTTAAAATGGTCACCAATTAAGCTTAGGCGCTATGAATCATTTAGAAAAAGTAAAAAAATTACTGTATGGCGGAGTAAAATTGGTTAAACACATACAGTGTTTGGTCAAAATCTTTGGATATTTAGTGATTTGTTTATACTAATTAAATAGGCCCTAACATATTGGCAATTGTCTTTTAAGCTTTCATGGTCACTGACCAAACCCATATACCCGTGTCAATATACCCATGATCCGCTGGCTACCGCGTTTTTACATCATCATTTTTTTTTATATATAATGGTATATTTAACTATTATTTACATACCTTCCCTCTGACAGTTTGCTATTTCCTATACCTAAAGGTTGCCTGGAAGAGATCGTTGTTACGTGTTGTGATCGACTCTTTTACGTTATCTTTCTGTTCTGTTATATTTATTTATTTTTAATTTATTTTCTTGGTGTACAATGAAGAGTTTATTATTATTAATAGCATAATGTCTCGAAACATTGGTATACGTCGACGGCTTCAGGGGCGTCAAGAAGTCTGCGGTGGTTTGTTGTTAAAATAAACACATGAGCTCGATAATAATAATTTGAATAGACTGATTACGAAAGAACAACACGCAAATTATTATTTAAAAATACAAAATGAAATTTCGTTTGCTTTACAAAGAAATATCTATAAATAGTTACGTAATTATACTTTTAAATATCTTTTTAATATGTCTATATTTGCATTTGATTTCGGCACTCATGAGAAACCGTGAGCTGGTTCCCTTACATCACATCCATCTTTTCTAGCACTAAGCGTTCCACTCTCGACAACCATTGAAAGCCAAGAGACGAATTTTGTTTACCCCTGGATTTGCCACTTAATGATAGTAAATTATACATCATCGATCACTCTTGTGATTGGAAAACATAACTTAAATATCATAAAGTTCCTGGTTCGAGACTCTTCCAGAAAAAAATAATAATTGAAGAAGTCAATTGTAGCTTTATTTAATAGACTTCAAAAATAAAATCGTATTCATGAGGTGTACCTACGTGTTTTTTTCTTCTTGCTAATAGTAAAACCGATATTCATGTTATTTTTTAATGAACAAGTTTTATCAACGGTGATCCCATATAAATTCAAATACGAGTAGATACATTGTATGGTATTGTTGAAAGATAAAAAAATTATGTGAATCGAATTTTTAGACATTACCTACCTAACAAAGCAATTATTGAGCTATTAATATCGTGGCACAATAGGTACGTGCATGCTACATAATAAATAAAGTTTTAAATAATTACATAATAAATAACTTTACAGTTAGGTTAAAAGACATTTTCCATCCCACCATTCGTTCGAAAAGTAAACTCAAGTATCGATTGTTCTTAATTACTTTATGTTGTCGGGCTTATTGATTGGCATTGAAGTTTCTGTACTGAATGATTTACCTGATTGCGCATGTCGTATTTCTAGTACCTACTTATTCTTATATTATATTCAAACATTAAAACCGATGAAATTATTATGTTTTTTTTTTAAACTAGAGTTCGTCGAGTGGTCGAACTTCGACCATGATTATTATTTTTTTTATTTATAAAACTAAAGCTCGTCAATAACTATTAAACTAAAACTTTTTCTTAATAAAAAGGGTTACAAAGTTTTTGCTTCACGTATTAATACATAATACTTAATTCTCAATTTGACCACAGACTAACAATAAACAAAAGAGTATATGTACGTGTGTGTGTCAAATACATGGTAGTGTGTGTGTGTAATGTTTTTTTTTATAGATTTGATGTATTTTTTAGGCATAATCTAAAAAAAATATTAGCCTTCTGCACTCCTTCTCTATATAAACTATAAGTGTGGAAAATTTCATACTCCTATGTCCGCGCAATTTTTGTAAAAAGAGTACAAAGTTTTTGCTTCACGCATTATTTATAGGTAATATATTAGACACGCCCAGCCACCCTGGGTCACTCAGTCCACGACCGCGCCTCATATTATGTCAATTGTCAAGGTGTAGGTATGAGGTGACACACCTAAAGTATGATTAGAAAAAAAAATACAAACAAATACTTTAATTACTTGCTGCGTTGATAAACTAAAATCCACTTCATAATATTAGTAACAAAGTGGTTTAACTATAACCATTTGCTTGTTGTGCTAACATTATCTAAACTGTAATAAAAACTCATATTTAAAACTTTAAAAAATAATAATCGAATAACATAAAAAAATGTCACGTGACGGTTACTTTTTATAATTTTATTTAATCTACAAATCAAGTAAATAATGATTATAATCGAATATAAGTAAACACCTAACGAACAATAAATATATTAATAATATATAATAAAAATTAAAAAAAACAACTGCAAGCTTTCCTATTTGTTTCATAAACGCGTACTGTACATATATATACTATACTGTGTGGTGTGTGTTTATATATATATATATATATATATATATATATATATATATATATATATATATATATATATATACCAACCTACCTAAGGAAGAGACATTGTTGTGTTAATTTATTATTATTTTTATCATTTATATAAATTTATCCTTTAAATTAATGTACATATGTATTTACATTTAAAGAAATTTACGAAATCGAAATTTACGAATAGATTTTTTTTTAATTTATTAAAATGTTATAGTATTTTCTATACTGTGAAACGGTGTACGTAACAGCCAGTGTATTTATTTTAGATGTATATCTGTGAAAGTAGCGGTTCAATCCACGATATGCCTCTCCCATTTTGAATGTTACTTAAATCCGTTGAGCCGATATACAGTGTTGTATAACAAATGGCTGTTGTCTGTGGTAACCGAGTGTATTCTCACAGTTATCACAAACCTTCACATTTTCACTATTAGTATTTAGTATTATAATAAGGAAAATTAAAGCATTATTCATGTATCTTAATATACATTTTCAACAGGAATTCAACGTATTAGACACTCAGCCGGCAGAGTACGAGCCCCTCACGGCCGACACTCTAACATCCAACCAAACAGTATACTGGCTCGTTTGGACAACTCTATTTCTCGCCGTACTTCTTGTGATCTCCATCATGACTTGTTTATCGCAAAGAGCGGATTACGTGAGGAAATTGAAAGCTGCCACGGCTACCGCTTATTGTAAGAAATATTTATTTTTTAATATACCAGCAGCTTATTTGCAACTGCACAATAAAAGTTTTCATTAAGGTTTAATTTTCGATTTTTTAAGCTATTTATATACATAATATACTATATCACAGTATTTTATTATTATTTAGTTTCATTGAAATTATTACTTATTATTAAAGAAGACGAAAAAAGACAAAGATTAGACCTCACTGGACTTAGCTATTTAGATTTAAAGTTAACCATTTATATTTTAGAAATTGATATTGTACAAAATAAAAATTATATTTCACAGCATCTCCCACAGCACGTGAATCCGATATGACAATTCGCAGTTCTGGAGGTAGAGTACCAAACACAAACAAACACAGTACAAAGGGATCAAATCCAATATGGCTGCACGCATACGAAAACGACTGGTATAAATCAGATGACCAATTAAGTCACTCAGAAAGAGATTCACTCGACGAAAATGCGGTCGACCAAGATTTGACAAACGAGAAACCATATTTCATAACAACCGCCGCATTCCCTTCGATACAATCAAACGAAACAGAAACTGAAACCAACCAGGGGAATTATGATTTCTATCAACAGTTGGAGCAAATGAAAAACGCCAAAAATATGGAGACCACTGAACTTTGATATATATTTTAATTTATACATTCAATAATAAATATGCTCAAATTGCATGGTGTATTCGAACCTGCAACCTTCGGCATGTACATTTATCTATTTATACGATTTGTATAAACATCTATAATATTAAGGAAACTGGCCTTATTTATTTACTTTGTATTCATATAGAAAGCAGATATTGTTTGACAATTTTTAAATGACGTCATTAAATAAATGATAAACATAATATAAAGTATGTTAAAGGTGGATGAGGAGTGTGGATCAAAGTAGGGTGTGACTAAGAACCTTATTACACATAATAATTTATTATATTTGACATTCTAATGAACTAACTTTTTGGATTTTGTCCTTTTATGTTGTTTTTGTCCCGACGTTTTGAATGCTTTACAGTAAACATATTCCTGAAAGAAACGTCGGGAACAAAAACTCAAATTAAACCGGAAATTCATTTCAATTTAAAATGTCAAATATTTATACGTAAATCTGAAAAAGTATTATATTTCACTTGACTTAAATTATTATAACTAATAATTATTTATATCAGTAGGATAATAAATCCTCCCAACAAAATGTATGTATGTACTCGTTCACCAAAAATGCCAAACATGAAGACCATTGAACTGTAGAATGTGCCTTTTATGTATGTACCTTTAATTGTAGTTAGATTAATAAATATTAACATTGCTGTGTGTTTTTTCTCCCTTATCTAAATTATGAGCTATTTTATAATACCATACTCATTTTTACCTTTTAATGGCCAGCAATGTATATAATATACGACTGATAACATCAAATAATTCTAGTTCATAATCATGACATGACATAAGTTACAAAGTAGAATGTGTTAGAATTTAGAAAATATAAATACCTATTGAACTTACTCTGGAATTTATTGCAATTTACCTTATATGCCTTGTATTTATAACCTAGATAGATATATTTGACTGGTTTAAATTATTTAAATAAAAAATAAACGTGTTTTCCTTGTTTCTTCTTCCCGTCTTTACTGGCCTTTAATCATTAGTATGTAAAAGCAAAGGGTTGTAATTAACCTTAAACATATGAACTTACAATATATAAAATGAATTTAAATATACTTTAAAATCAAAGCAACTAACATATTTTTTTTCAAAATTGTTCAACTTCAAAAAAAAAAGGGCTGTTTTATTTTATGTTAAAATCTAAAATTCATCATATTATATTTTAATGTTTCTTCACAAGTGTGTGTTATGTTATTTCCTAATAATATGTTAACTCCTGACAAATAAATCCAACTATACTACACAATTGAACTAAGTCTTATTTTATGTAAGGATGTAAGGCGATGAAACATGAATCAATGACTCATATAGAATTTTAAACTTTGTAGAATTTATTAGTATTCCCAACTGCAAGCGCGTTTAAAGTTCATTTTAATACATCACATTCACCCTTTGGCTAACGCCGATATGACGTAGTTACAACCCACAACTATTTTCTTTACAGGTTTGACGTCGATGAATAAGAGCATTATCTTATTTGTATATGCCAATTAGTTCTCAATGAAATTACTGACCAGTGATAACCCGGAATTTTATTGGATTCATTATTGTTTACAGAAAATATTGACGTTTGCTATAATAATTCAATAGGTGATATTTGTATGCATAACTGTGTCAGGAGATTTAAATCTAATTAGGGCTAATTTTATTTATGTAATTAAAAAACAAAAACCAGTGTACTGAACTCTTATCCTAAGAGTCAATGTACCTATGAAGCTATTTAAATTTAACCTGAAAAGAGGAGAATGACCTACTATTCTATTTAGAGATATACATAAAAGATAATGTTTTGATGATTCATCAAAAATAAAAAGTTGACATAAAATATTTATCATTTTGCAGTACGTTTATTTATTCTCATACTACTTGCCAATTTTTTCTCATCGGAACCAAAAATAGGCATTTTGACTAAAAGCGAGAAATTTTTTACCCTACTACATAAAAAAAGGAAGTATCCTAAATAAAGCTCAACTTGTATTTACATACACAATAATTTATTGTTTCTTACAATTTAGTGAAGCTAAAATACATCGTCGACTGATTACAGTTTGAAAAGCTTTGAGTAATCTCTCCCTGTGTTAACCAAATGAACAAAAGCTTCCTCTTACAGCTGTAAAGTAAACACACCATACTTTGCCACTCATGCCATGACTTCATATGCCATACTGATAGTTGATACAAAATATTATGGGAAATAAGGATGGGTCATGGGACAGTTCGTGGAAATCACAACGCAGGTATCCTTACAACCACAATATATATTAGATAAAATTATAATATAAAGATCGCCATATTGAAAAAAGTCTAGATTAATTAAAACTTATCATCTTATGAGATACACTGTAATTTATACTGTACTGTGTAACTATAGGAGCGTTTTTTTCCTTAAATATTGTGGATGAAAGAAAACTGACGGCTTAAATCATTGTCAGTCTGTTCAGCTGGCTGCATCTTTACTAACTTAAAAAAAAAATGTTTGTTTAAAAAAATTTAACACTCACTCAACTCTATCAACAAGCTCATTATGTTAACCATTTACTTACATTAACCAGAATGTTCTGTAACATATGAGCTATACATACAATTCAGTGACAAAAATCATATTTTAATGAATGGGAAAGTGTAAAGCAAACAACGCTCCAACTCCTAACATATGGCTATTGTACAGTTCCACAATGCAATTTAGATCTAGTTAAAGTACAAATTCTTTAGGAATTACATGAATTGAAATTATGTAAATTTAACTAACGTTTAACTAAATGAGTGTATGCGATAAGACATCTACCGACACATCCATGTTAAACAAAATCAGATTCTTATAGAAAATGGTACTTACACATTATATGAACAGAAACTATTTGCATATGCGTATTATTTTACTTAGTCGCAATAATTGGCATTTAAAGTACAAGAGAATCAGATTCTAAATGACCATGTAGAGTTCAACACAAATTCCAGTAATTTAGGTGATCAGTAAGGATTTCAGACAAAAGGGGATTTTGGAGTGGAAAAAGATAGGAAGGGTATAGCCCCGGCTGTGGCGATGTGTGTGTATATGTTTTCTGATGTCACATTTGACTCATCACATGGCATACTTCCTAGTCCACTCTCGGGCTAATTCATTGTACTTTTCTCTGTCAGTTTTGTAGATCCTAGCAATTTCTGGCACCAAAGGATCATCAGGATTTGGATCGCATAGAAGTGAGCAGATTGAGAGCAACACTGGAAAAAAATTAAATTAGAAACATCAAACAATACAATAAAAAACAATTAAATTAACATTAACAATAATATATAATAATTATTATTACCTTTAGATATGGTAAGTGCTGGAGACCATTGTGAGCGCAAGATATCAAGGCAAATGGAACCATTACTGTTTATATTGGGATGATAGATACGTGTTGTGAATGCAACTTTTGGTGGTTTGAAGGGATAGTCTGTAGGAAAATGTATGGTCAGGAAAAATACACCACCCTGATAAGGACTGTCGACCTGCAAAATAATGACACATTACATAAGTTATGGCTATTTTTGTTCAAGACAAAGTAATCTTGCTAAATTACTTATAAGGCTTCATTGAAATAAAGGGAAAAACATGTCGCCATTTCATGTAGTGCTTCTAAATGAACAAAATAACTTTAAATTTAATATAACCAATAGACACTTACTGGACCCATTATTGTGGCCTGCCAGTGGAAAACTGAAAAAATAATAAAAAAGTGATTTAATTCATTATTTATTTATTACATACAAAACAATATCAGCAGATTTTTATTTTCACAATATCAAATTTTAAAACAAAAATAAGATATAAAATGTATTATCTTTTTACATTTTTAATGAAATTAATTAAAAATAGTCATTTTAATACTTAAAACAATAAAGATTAAACATAATTAGAACCATTATTAAAATTAGCTTTTTATTAAAGTAAGAAAGAAAGATGAGTCACAAAAATGTAATGTACCAAGCAAAGGATCAATAGGTACTCACGATCTTCTCCGTGTGGTCCTGCTGAACATTGTGCCGGTGGGTCTCTACCCAGATCTTGTAATTCCTGCAACATCATAATCATTGTGTTACAATAATGCAGGAAATACAATACAGTGATAAGTAAAACATGTCAAACACATCATCACTCGCAAAAACATAAGGTCGAGCAACTATTTTGTATAAATCCTTTAAAAAACAAACTTTTAACATGTTTTATGAAATTGTACAATTGTCCATAGCAGCAAATCTTTTCTCGTCATCAATTTATAGTAAGAAAACCTCAAAATTGGCACATATTTCCGACATTTTATGTACGCCGTGTGCATAAAATTGTAGCCTTTATGAACCAGTAAAACACCGTTACTATAACAAAGATGCAGTTACGATGAAAAATATTTAAAGTTTTTAAATAATAATCACGCACACAGAATTATCCAGAAGAAATTTCGATAATAGGTATTCACAATGACGAAACATTCACTCCGAAGTCTGTTACGAATTTTACAGTACACCACTTGATTGAAGCTAATCTTTAAAATAAACATCAAAATCCTTAATACGTACCCTATTAATTCGTTTTAACGCCATTTGATTATTTTATGATTGAATATAGTGCCTTTCAACTAGACAACGAAACTCTGAGCCAAGGACCTTTGATTAGAGATTGCAAGATGGCTCCCGTCTAAACGCAAAAGTACCACATAAGTCGTTTTATGCAATAATAATGAAAAAGTAACTATTAAGATAAAACTTCAAAGACTTAAATAAAAAATAATAATAACTAATATTAAGAAATAATAAGAATTGGAACAGAGCGCAGATTCTAACAAAATTAACGCACTCGCGACGAATGGAGAACAGCAAACAGGAAAATCGACCATTTACAAAGAGCGTTCATGATTACTTCTCTTTTTTTAAATATTCGTTACATATTGAATTACTCATTTGTAAGATTCTATTTATAAACAGAAAAGAATAACATATGATTAGATAAATAAAATAATAAAGTAAAAAATAAGAAATATTTTATTTTAAAATATTATGATTATTTTATAAAATTATTTAAACTATATTTTAAAATCAATATAAATTATATGTATGGCAATACTTAGTAACATTCGGACGTGACGTATTATGGATAAGAATTCTGGGCGCTATTTTTGGATAACAAAGTAGGCAAATAGGGTTATTTTCAAGCACATTTTTGCAATTTGAAACTTTCCCAGGTACAATGTCTGGTAGTAAAATTATTTTATCATCATACTATATTACAAAGTAGAAAAACAAATTCTAAATATTGTCTTTATAAATACTAAATGAGATCAGCATTTAGAAATTCTGTCATAATGGATAGAATGATAGATAATTATACAATTTGTTTATAATTTTGTTTATAATTTTTAAGAAGTGTTTTCATTTTCTGTTTGAACTATCACTAATGATATAATAATAAGGTAAATAAATGAAATTATAACTATAAATTACACGTTAAGTCAAAGATCATAAAAAATATTTTTGCCTCATAAAATATTATAGCATTAATTGATTTTTTTTAATCTTTTGTTTTGATAAGCATTAAATAAAGTTACTTAAATATTTTATTAGAACTTTAATATATATTTAGTATACTTTACGTATATTTTATCTATACACATTATTATTATTTCTTGGAAAATCTTATGGAAATAGTCATTATTTAACCGATACAGAGGCTGAATTAATAGTTTTTAGTATTTTTGTCTAACTGGGTGGGAACGCATCACGAGAAAACTGCTGGATAGATTTTGATAAAAATTTAGTTAACATATACTTGTTATTGCGGGAAAATATATCATCTCCGAAAAATCTATACTAACCGTTAAATCTTATTTAGGGGGTTAAAATATATACTTAGTTACAGAACAATAAATAAATTTACAAAAATTATAAATTTGGCAACTTTAAAATAAATAATACCAGAAGTTATCTGTATTTCTGACCGCACTGACATTTCTTTTTTGAAATTGACAACTTACGCTAATCTATATACTATGGACTTTTATTTGTCATCCATGCTATGGACGGAAGAAGTAAAGAGGACCATCTCAGTGTATTAAAAAGTGCCCGTTGAAAGGGAGCAAATTACAAACATGAATATGGAATAAAATTATACAGTATTTTTATGTACTCCAGTTATTTGTAAATTAAAATATTATTATTATTTGTCAATTATATTACATTTTTAAAATAATATTTTATAAAATAATATTATTTGTAAATTATATTAAATTTTTAACCTAGCACACTTCATTCTGTTTATAACTGCTAAACTCATATCATTTCCATTTCCTACACTAACGCTATTTTGGTGAGTGTTCGAACAATAATTTGCTGTTTACAAGTGGAAGCTTTTTCAACTAATCCCCCATACAAGACCCCATACAGGTCCTCCTTGCTTCCACCCTCCAAGCTTGCTTAATGTTTCCCAGTTTATAACTATACTCTTTGATGTGTAGTGTTTATTCTATACCTACGTTCAAATCATGGATGACAAATAAAAGTTCAAATTGTTGTCAAATTCGTGTCAAATTTGACAGCTGATAGATGACAGGAGTCAACTGCACTGCTGACTGCGGTCGGCGAGGGCGACACTCGATCGACAGTTTTGTAACAACAGTTGGTGTAGGTGGTAGTGTAATGTGCTATGTGGTTGAGTACAAATATATGCGATTTATGACAAAACTCACACCTTTATTTCTGGTAAATTATTTCCTTTACTGACAGATTGAGTGCTAAACATTTAGTATTAAGTTATAAAAGTATCGTGAAACGTGTTATTTTGTAAAAATAATTATAACAACAAATAGTAGGTAATAATATAATTTAAACATGACTTTAACCATGACCAGAAAAGTGAGCGAGTGTCAAGCAGAAACTGTTCAATTTATGCCAATAGAAAAAGTAAGTTAAAGTAAAAGCTTTTTTTGATCTGATAACTTTCTAATAGAAGAGTTTAGAGGCTTTTTTTAAAGTTCTTTTTCACTGTGTTTTTAAAATAATTTGATTATATATAATTCATTTATTAACATTAAATGTGTTGTTGCGATTAAAGGAGACTTAGTTGTATAAATATTAATTAATGAAATATGTAATTAAAAAAAACAAAACAAACAATAATGAAACAAATATAAAATAGCTAGAAGGCGAGTGCAAGCAAGAATCAGAATTTTCTTCTGGAACCACTTTACTCAGGCGCGGCAAGAAACTTGAAGATAATAACAATCTCACTGATGAAGATGTAGAGTACATCAACTACAGAAAACTACTGAAATATGAAGAGGCACCTGTTTACTTGCAGCATAATCCTTACATTACAGATGGCTATAGAAAGTTGTTGCCTACAAAATTATGCTGGGAAAGGTAAATATAAATGTAACATTTAAAATGTATCCTTTATTTTAACTTGATAACTTTGATTTATGTATATATTATATACTATATCTTATAACATTTTATTTAAATCCATAATAATGTAAGACTATTTTTTGTGATTCATAGTAATTGTTATTAAAAAAAAACATTTACTTAAAGTTGTTGATGTGAGTAAATATAAAATTAGCAAAGAATTAGAGTGAAACATTTATTGACTAATATGTGTTAATGACTTGTAACACTAAACACATCTAGAGTTTTCCTTTTACTTTAGTCTGTATTTTTTATTAATTATTTATCAATGTTTAATAAACATTAAAGTGTTATAAAAAATAGTAGTTTTTTAAAGGATTGAAATGAATGATATGCCACATTTCATACAATACCTACAATCTAACTATGTAATTAGTTTTTATTATTACCTGTACATTTTAATTTATAGTATAAAACTACCTTAATATTATTGTATACAATGTATATGGAATAAACAAATGGGACATGGAATAAAACTACTCAATTCAAACTCGGAATATTGTAAAAAGGCAGAGTTTGTTTGTTTGAGCATGATAATCACAGGAACTACTAATCTGATTTGTAAAATCTTTTTGCATTTGATAGCCCTTTTATGGGGGAAGGCTATAGGCTATACATCATCATGCTACTACCCATGGGAGTGGAGTAGTAATTATAAATGTCAACAAATCGAGCAGGCTTCCACACATTATTGTAGAACTGATATTTATAATATGTTTAAGTGCTTTAAATTCAGAATATATAATATGTAGTCTATGTCGTACTAACCATTAAAACATACCCAAGGGTGAACCCGAACGAAGCGAGGGTGAGCTGCTAGTTCAAAATATTTTATTCACCAATAAATTATTACAATTTTTACTAAACATCACGAGTCTACTAAGCACAAGGAAACATTCTTTTATACTTTGAAATAGTATGAAAGTAACCTTTTACTATAAAGAAAATATGTGGGTACCTACTTAGTACATACAGTTATATGGTCTAGTCTACATAATCTAATGTTTGTATTGTAAGTTTATAAACTATTATCATTATTATTTCTAAGTTAAACTCTAATTCTAGGTCTATATTTTAATCATTATGTTATTTGATAAATATTTCATACTGATAAGTCATATATTTTCAGCATATTCTGGTGGACCAATGAAACGATGAATATATGGACGCACATATTTGGCTTCTTTCTGCTTCTATTCCTCACAATTAACGACTTGGTCATCATAAACATCCACGCAACAGTGACCGACAAAACCGTAGCCGCGATATTATTCTCGTGTTTTCTTGTAAGTACCAACCTACCTAAACTTTCATTACGTTCACATCCCATGAACATTCCGTTAGAAATAAGATATCGTATAGTCATAGAAATTTTAGGATTTGTAAAACTCGTTATCTCTTATAAGATTGAAATCCGATAATATGTTTGAATGTTTGTATGTATGTATATGTTATATGTACATAATATGTTACTTGTAAGTAATGTTACAATTACATCTTGGTTGCATTTTCTTGTTCTTGTATATAGCAAACTTTTTATGCAAAATCGTCATCTTGTCAAGATTTATTAATATAGTATCTAATTAATATACATTTTTATTTTATTTAAAAATTTGAAATCTACGTTTTCTCGTAAAGGTAATTAAAGTTTATGTTTTTAATACCTGTGTGAATAAATGCTAATTGGTATCGCAAAAAGCTAAAGTATTTAGAATTACGACGCATAAATTACAAAATGCGAGCCTTGGTATCTCTACATAGAGCTTTTGATTGGGAAAGGTAAACGGCCGGTCTCGTACCTTTAATATTACATATATGGTCTATATAGAATGGTAATTGCTATCTATATTTTTGATTCAAGCTTTGGCAATGCAATTAGTATTTTATCCTGAAGATATAGACATATGCCATCGCAGACTTTTCTGTAGACCTATATAAGATACACAATTCCACCATACATTATATCTCAAAGGGTTTAGGCAGCGTTTAAGTGGAAAGCTCCCAGAAGGCTTATTTTTTTTCGACACCTCCAACAAATATCTTTAAATTTTAGCCAATGTATACAAAAACTTAACAAATCATATACTAAAACCTCTCTCGAGAACCACTCTATCCATTGGTTAAAACAGCATGATAATCGGTGCAGTAGTTTTTGAGTTTATCGCGAACAAACTGACAGACATACAGACAGACAGACGCGGCGGAGGACTTTGTTTTATAATATGTAGTGATATTTTTTTAATACTGATACTCAGTCGAAATGAACATGCTAGGTTTTTTCAAAATATCATTTTATTAAATAGAGAAAATAGAAAAAAAATAACTATATTTTATTAGGTACTTACTAAACTATTTCTGCCAATAACATACAACTAATTACAATTTAATTATATTTTCCTCACGCTTGCACTGGCTGAATTGTCACTGGACCATCCAGAAGCAGCGTGTATCTGCAGTGTGTTGAAGTGTATCTGCACACCAACGAATTGGTGTTTTTGTCTGAGTTTGGTTATTGTGCCACTACCCCAAGTGCCAAAGCATAGACGCAACATGTGCACAACAGTGAACAACTTTTGACAAGAATCGCACTGATTTCCAGGCATTATTTTTTGATAAAATACAGATACGCATACAATATGCTACTAATCTATATATATAAAAGAAAGTCGTGTTAGTTACTTCGCTTATAACTCAAGAACGGCTGAACCGATTTAGCTGAAAATTGGCAGGGAGGTAGTTTAGAGCCAGGAGAAGGACATAGGATACTTTTTATCCCGTTCGACCGCGTTCCAATTTTTATGATATTTTAATTTTTGGATTTCTCTTAGTCCGGAATAGGTAAGTATTAAAACATATAATTAAAATGTGAGAAAGAAAGATTTTTTCTTTTTATATCTATTTAAAACGTACCTAGCGACGAACCCGAGCGAAGCGAGGGTGAGCCGCTAGTACGTAAAATAATGACTACTTAACAAAAAAAAATTAAAATAGGTATGCGCGAGGTCAAGGCACATTTCACTGACGGACAAGCTATTTTGTTTCGTATCACAAAGAAATTTATGCTAGTTTAGAAGCCAATAGAAAGACAATAAATATGTATATTATAGTATTTGAGAGCCTAAAAAATATAGTAGTGCATAAAGCGCTTAACAGATTTAAAAAATATGAATGTTAGAAAAACGCTAAAATTGCAAAATTTCAACGAATTTGCCAAGGTTCATGACCTTTTTATGTGATTAGCTATAATTTTTTTCTTACTATTTTAGAATAAACTGAAACGTCAAACCTATGCTTCACATTTATATTATGGCTTTAATAAAAAACATTAATCCCCCACGTATTGAAGGAAGGCCCGTGTCCAGCAGTGGGTCGTTAAAAAGGGCTGAAAGATCTAGATAGAAAAACATTAAATTTTCATTATTATAATGGCTGAAAAAAGGCTGATCTTTACCCACTTTGTTCAACTTTGACGTCATTATTATTTTATGTTTAGAAATCAGGTATTTACCTAGAGATAAATGTGTCAAATTAAAAAAAAAATACGATGTACATTTTACAAATACAATTAAGTAGGTAAGAGTTGGAGAAAAAAAAAACGAAAAGATATTTGATTATGTATTTAGGTACCTATTATGTTTTGTAGGTACCTGCCTCTAGCAAGTGTAGTATTATTATATTATATGCCTATTTCTCTAGAATCCTGTGTACCGTCTTTCATTTAAAAGAATATTACTTATATACTTATCATTTAGGTACTTCATCATCTTATAAAATACTAGCGACTCACTCTCGCTTCGCTCGTGTTCGTACATAGCTTGCTTCCCCATTCAAAATTGCATCCCCATTGTAACGCCCTTAAGGGATGATTTCCGGGATAAAAAATATTTCACTCACTTTTGATATCATGAAATTTAATAAAAAAAACCTTATTTAAGTAAAAAAAAATCTTTTGATTTTTTTCTATACAAAATTTCCTGACAATAACAAACACAAACAAAAAAATAATTATCCAATTTGGTGCAGTCGATCCTAAGTTATACGCGAACGTACATTTCAGTTATTCATTTTTATTTATATGGATGTAACTGATCATATTTTGAGTTTCATTTCCGTAAAATTCAAAATTCAAGGTTTTATTTCCTAGTTAATAACTCTTCGTCAGTGGCCGACGCCTTGAAACCGCGTCTCGTCTCATATCCGACCTGCTTCTCCCCCGCTTTAGTGAAAGTACTTATACCCGCGGCCAAAATATGTAAAAAGTTGACAAGAGGTTATATTTTTTGTCTCCATCTATTTTAAGACTAATGTAAATTTGGTCTAGATATTTTTTGCAGAATTTTTGTTATTAGTTTTACTTTACATTAAAGTAGGTACTTACCTACCTTACGTAAACCTTAAAAATTAATATGTTACAAAAAGTGAGTATTGAAATCCTTTTTAATTATTCTTTATAAAGAATCTTTATTTGTTATTGTGAATGCAAAAGTGTTCGTGGATTTATTTCAACAACATATCAATTATCTATATAGATAAATAAAATTGAAGTGTCTGTTTGTAATGTCAAAATAACAGCTTTTTATTAAATGCGTATGAAATTATTATATACAGTACTTATAAGAAAAACTCAATTTTTAATTTATTTGTCTGTTTGTTCCGGCTAATCTCCGAAACCGTTGGACTGATTTTGACGGGACTTTCACTGGCAGATAGCTGATGTTATAAGGAGTAACATAGGATACTATTATATTAGAAAAAGAATTAATATTCCGCTCAGAAAAAAAATACGAAGCGAAAAGTATGAACTTTCTTATTTAATACTAACGATTTTCCGCTTTGCTCGGTGCGGGTGCATTGCTAGGTGCGCGGATTAGGTACACTCACAATTTTATGGGTTTTAATTTTTTAAGCAGAATCCTGATTCTTTTTCCAAAATATAAGTAAAGTTATTGCTTATAAAATCAGTTATCTGCCAGTGAAAGTCCCGTGAAAATCAATCCAGCGGTTTCAGAGACTAGCCGGAATAAACAGACAGGCATACAAAATTTTAAAAGAATGTGTTTTCCTTTTATGTAGTTACCGCATACAATTTCATAGGATGCATTTAGTAAAAAGCTGTTATTATGACATTACAAACAGACACTTCAATTTCATATGTCTGTATAGATTTTTCACTTAGGTAGTAGGAGATCATTGTATGATATCGATTTTATCCAAGATTACAGTAAAATTGCACAAAAAATTTTATCTTATGAAATGCCCTGATATTTTAAAATTTTATATCTGAATAAAGACAACTTTCACCGAACGGTTTATTTAAAGTATCCAAGTCGCCTAGCTGGCTCATTTTATTTCATCTCAATAAGATGATACAGTTAGGTACAGGTACACTAATAAGATCATAATGGCGATCTTTCCCCACTTGGGTAGGTAATATGGTATTTCATTGGTTACTGATTATACTTAGCTTTCATTTTATTTAAATGGTGTATGTATACTTTATAGTGACCAATAAAACTTTCACTGCTAATAGATCTGCAAACGAGCTGTAATATTTTATTTGATAAAATAAATGGTTTCCGATTACAACATAAATAGTATTTTATATCTTACTAGCGACTCACCCTCGCTTCGCTCGGGTTCAACAATACAACCTTTCATCCCCGTTTTCACCCCCTTAAGTAGATTTAGTCCTTCCCAGGGTCTCAAACTATCTTTTTACCAAATTCATCTAAATCCATTCAGTAGATCCAGAGATTACCACCTACAATGTCACAAACTCACAAACTTACAAACTCACAAACTTGACCTTTTTATAATATTAGTATGTATATACATATATAAGTCTTTTCTAGTTCTTGACACGAAATATAAAAAACAAATTGCTTTTTCTCTTCCATAGGGTTTTGGGATGAAGGCAGTCAGGATAACTATTTTTTTTGTCCCATTAATATTATAATATAAATACAACAATTTGTATGGATAGATGGATTGAACGGATCTTTTTTATCCCGTAAAATGTACGGTTTCCGTGGGTGGTTTTTGTTTTTCAATAGGGACAACCCCGAGCGAAGCGAATGGGTGACACGCTAGTAGTTGATATAATTTCGTTATTTTGCTTCGAATTCTCTAATACCGGAATAGATAAATATACAAGATCAATTAGATTTGTTTTGCCTTTTTACTAAGAAATCTAACACACTACAACGAAGCAATTACTACGTGGGTAAAGTCTCGAGCAAATGCTACATTTAAAAATTTATTCAAGTTTATTCCTATAAGAAGTTGATGTTTTTAATGCTTTTCCACATAATTTATTTCTAAGATCTAAAATGATATGAATGAATATTTTATACTAATTGCGAAGTTGACGTTATTTGTGGCATCATGAAGAAACCAAAAACCACATCGTGAGGAAACCTGCATGTCTGAGAGATTTTAGCAAATTTTAGAAAGGCGTGTAGGACTGGACCAGCGTGGTGGACAACGGCCTGATGCCCCTTGCAGTAAAGGGGGTCCGTGCCCAGCAGCGGGACGTTAAAGAGGGGCTGAATACAATACCAAAAAATCTTAAACAATAACAATTGAAATATCTGTTAACATTATGTAGGCTGTATGTAAATGTAATAAATAGAAAAAGGGCGTCGAATTTTAGGTTCAAACTATATATTTAGGTACATAAATTAACTTTAGCTACATCTTTAATTAATTTTATTATTAGTCGTTGTGATGCCTATTGTTTATAATCTAAGAGTCATTGAACGCCAAAATAAAAATCTTTTAGAGCGGCTGACAGCTGGTAGTTACTATATTAAAATTTTATAACTTACAAACATATTGAAGAGACGATAAAACAGACATAATTATAACCTTCTACAAATTTGCTACCTAACGCAAAAAATATTTTTCACAATCGAGCCGTTATTCGTCTGTTCTTGAGATTAGCACGTTTAAACATAAACTTATTGTTACCTCAATGTTATTAAACGAAGTGTTCACATATATGTATCTATATAATGATACTGAAGTAGAAGTTGTATCGAATGATTTTTTGAACTTTGGGAAATGCATTTAGGCACGAGATGTGGGACCGGCAAGCCCAGTGCTACCCACTAAAACTCTTAACTTTCCCCGTCTTAAAGGGGCGTTGTAGGATAGTTTACGCACTCAACCACGACGCCCCGACGGCAGGCCTGCCGAAGCAGACCACAACGCTAAAATGCTCCACTCTGCAATCAGAGAAGTACCAGGAGCAATCCGCTTGGCACACCGCCCACCGAGGTGGGCCACCTCCCTATGCGTTTCTTGGCTTCGCGCCCAGATGGATTGCCGGGCACTACTGAGTCCTCCCACCACGACAAGGTGAACCACATTGAGGGGAATCGAAAGTTGACTGAAGTCATTTACTCCAAATTTTAACTTGAAATTTAAATATAATTTTGTCACTGGCCTTAAAATATCGCTATGCGAAATCACGTAATTTGTTAATATAATATTCTAATGAAAACCTTGTTTTTGCCCTTGTTACTTCCGCAAGTTCCTAAATATAAAGACAAATGAAGACATACCATCTTGTCGTCTTTTAATCATATTTTCGCATATCAAGGTTTTCATTTCCTAGAACCGGTTTCCAACAAAATTACTGGCAGACGTTGAACAAGTTGATAAATAATAGCTTGACCACGTCACATTCAATGGCATATGAAATTGTTTCGTCATTTCCTTGGTTCTTACTGGAAAGTTTATATTTACTGGAACAGGTTTGAGATTTGAGTAAACAGTAGATACTTTTTTAATAATTATTTATATTTTACATCTAAAATAATGAAAAGCCTCAAGTTTTTGTATTGAAACAAATTGATTTTATTAATTTACATTCAAAGAATCCATTGCATTTTAATAAAATTGCAATTTGCAGCCGCAGTTTTTAATTAATATTGTTCACTTTTACACATTTTAGATTTGTATGGCTCTATCGGCACTCTACCACACATTCTCCTGTCGATCTGAGCACGACTACAACACGTTTTTGATGTACGACCTCTTCGGTATCGCGTTGTCTTTGCTTGCGATATACACATCTGGAGTATACTACGCTTTTTGGTGCCATCATGTAAGTATTCCCTGCCTATTTCGTCATATTCCCAGCGGTTATTATATTTTTTATTATTTTGGAAACTATATATATATATATATATATATAGTTTATATATATATACATATTATATATATATATATACATATACATATGCATATTTGACTTACAAATGAATAACTTATCGAGTTTTTTCACAGTTCTATCTGTGGTAGGTGCAACGCCCGAAACTTAGGTTATTAATTGGACTGTCAAGTGCAATGGACTTACTATCAATATATATTTTTATTTGTATTAATAAAAATATTGTAGGTTATGTTTACCGAGTTCTCAGAATTAAATTACCCTTAATTGCGGTTATTTATAAAAATGAAGACCTTTACATTGTTACCTGTTTCTCATATTGCCAACGGTTATTGCGAAAACGTTGTATACATTTAAGGTCTAAGTATGTGGTTCTAATTTGATTATATAACATAAAAGTCAAGAGAGCATGGAGGTGGAGTTCCGTAATGAAATAAATTATGTAACTCTATTCATTTACTTATGTCTACGATAATCTACGATTGTGTTCGCCTTGATTTTAACAAAGTATAGGTAATATTAAACTTTATTTACCGTCTAAGAATAAACTTAGATATACCAGCTATTAAAACTTGATTTGATTTACAAGAAATATGCTTGTCAATTAACATAAAAAAAACATCAAGCATTTTCCGCGTGTCTTTACAGCGATTAGTCTAACCTAGATTCGTCTTACTAGAACATATATAACTTTTAAATATTAATATTTATTTTATCTGTCTGGTCAGATGCTATTTAAAATACAACTTCATGTATCATAATAAAGTTTTAGGGTCTACAATTATCATCGAAAGTTTTTAGTCTATGGTATGTACAAAACATGTCAGAGATTATGTCAACTAAAAATAAACCTTGTTATCAACAAGTGTAAACAATAGTTCTTTTTTCAAAAATTTAAACTAATTTAAAAGAAATTTATGGATTTATGAGTGTAAAAAATCATGTAATAGCAGTATTTAAATAACCATTACGTGACTATCTATGTAATTTTGGACACAGGCACATCTAAACAGGACTGCCAGTAGAGCCAACTTATTTTATACGGCTGGCTGGCTCAAATTATACCAAATCAAATTTTATTGTACAAATTAACAAAACTGTTGAGAAATAGTCTGTGACGAATAAAGAATTTTAATAAGAATATGTAATAACTTGAAATACACATGAAATAACCATATTTTTCAATTTTCGTATCCAATTATATGATCTGGCAGCCCTGCAATATACGCCTATGTTTTAAAATATGTTTTCTTTACGGAAATAAAGATTTTATAAACAAAATAGTTATTAGACGCGTTTATATTCTAAATAGCGATTTACCCTCGCTTCACTCGGGTAACGGGTTCGTCCCTAGGTGCGTTTTAACTGTTAGTATAGAATAGATAAACTATATACTATATAACATGTAGCCTATAATAGCCTTCCTCATTAAACGGGCTATCTAATGTAAAAAGAAATTTTCAAATCGGATTAGTAATTCCTGAGATTAGCACGTTTAAACAAACAAACTCTGCCCCTTTATAATATTCCCTCCATGACCGCCGACACGCCGGCGTGTCAGTTAACAATAGATTTCTTAGAAATTTAATTAATTTCTTAGAAATTTACCTGGAGGTGATATTAGTACATATATGTAGATGTAGATATACATTGTACATTGATATTGACCCCGATTTTATTCATTATTTGGAAAGGCAAAATTCCAAAGTTTATTTACTTTTATGCTCTGTAATTTACAACACAACAAAAATAAAAATCTTGCTACTATTTTTGGTTGCCTATTTGTAATACTATTTCATTCATATATTGTACAAATATTATAAAGAGGAAGCGTTTGTTTGTTTGTCTGTCTGTTTGTTTGTTTGTTTCATTAAATGCGCTAATCTCAGGAAATACTAATCCGATTTGAAAAAATATTTTTGCATTAGATAGCCTGTTTATTGAGGAAGGCTATGGGGTATAGGCTATATACTCGTATCATCATGTTACTACCAAAGGAAGGTGAACAGTAATCATAAATGTCAACAATTCGGGCAGACTTCCATATATTATTACTAATATCATAAAGCCAGTCTTTTTTGTAATTTTACTGCGAGCGAAGCCGAGGGTTCTGCTAGTTGATAGATATAAACATTGTTAATAATATTGCCTCCTTACAATTCCCTTACATAGATATGCGACAAAATTACCTGAAATAATGGTATTGTACTATAACAAGATCTATATATATTTATTATTCACCTATGTAAATAATGAATAAAATTAATATTTATTATTGTTTTTCTCACATTGTTGGTGTAATATGAAATATACCTGCATCGTACTCGTATAAGGTATCCGTCATATCATGCAAATCAGCATTTCACTCAAACGGAGCGGAACAAACTTCTTGCAGTATGGCATAATTAGGTATATATTATATACGTACGTAGTTCCAATATTACACGTGTCAACCAAAACTTTAATGAATGGGAAACGAGTGAGATCTTTGCTATATATATATATATATATATATATATATATATATATATATATATATATATATATATATGTAATTGTATCTTGTTCACTTTATTATTATACAAGATACATTTCGTTTTAGTCGAATTAGCTTTGTTCTCGCTTCTGCGTTAATTATTATTTCGTTATCAAGAGGAACATCTACTCAAATAACGTAAATTAATTAACCTAATAAAAAAAGTACTATTCTATTGTTAGGCATTTCCAGTTTTTTATTGTATATATACATATATAGTACGTATACAGGCATATTATGATTGATATATAGGCATACGTAACAAATTAACAAACGTTAAAAATGTTACGTATTAATTAATTTTAAATATTTTTGGTAAATTTAATTTCTCTTATGATGTTACGAATACATAGTGAATATTGAAATTTCAAGTTGTGACACTATTTTAGCGCTCCGTCACTCCGTTTCGACATGAAAGAAAGACAAACAAACAAACAAACACACTTTCACTTTTATAATATTAGTATGGAAGTATAGATGTATGTATCAGTATGGTCAATATAAACATTTTTAATTCAGCTTATAATTTCCCTATAGCATATTTCACACAGCTTCACTGGGTAGTGTTGTAAATATTCTTAGAATGTGCATATATTTCACATACATAAGTATGTGTATGTATGGTACATACATGTATATATGTACATTCCTCGAAAATTCTTCATTATATACCTATTCGAAACGACGTTTCATTTATAATACAAATTTTTAGCAATATCATAACATTAAGATGCAATTTAGACTCAAATGTCCAATGTCACGGACAAAAGCTGATATTGTAATGAGATTTAATCTCCAAGACCCCAATAGCGAACAAGCAGGTTGCACGCAAGTAAAAGTTATGGTAAGAAGTGAAAGGCAAATCTCTCTTATCATCGCTCTTATGATTAATTTGACTAATTTAAAAAAAAATTGCTAGATTGATCTAGCTATTGGATATTTTAATTATTTTGATAAATAATGTGTTTTTCTTAGAAGATCTTGTATACCTATTACTTAAAATGTTTATTTTACTTTTATTTTCAGGGTTTCGTACTCTAAAGGGACGATTATTACTATTTTTATTACCAGATTTAAAATTAAAAAAAATATATATTATTTAAAAAAATATATTTATTGTTCGTTAAAAGAAGGTCATTTATAAAAAATAACCAGTTTTGTCAGATAAAAAGTACAATAATTGGTCCTGTTACCAGGCAAGAAGTTACGTTGAATACGTAAAGATATTTAAAAAAAAATTGCGAAGTATCTCTAACTAATACGAGGTATATTTCTACATAGCATAGACATGTTGGTAACCGATCGATCCAATTTATCGATTCACCTGACCGATTGTTTAGCAACATTGTTGCGTTAAATGCCGTCATTGACCTTCACTACATGATTTTTTAATTATACCTATGTGGAAGTGCCACTAATTAAATCGATATACATTTATTGATCGATATGATTGATATTGATGATATGAAGTATCTTTTATTTTTTAATTTAATAATCGCTCAGATATCGCTTTAAAAATCTAGATAAATATAGTTTATATATTATTTGTTTAGGTACATGTTGTATAAGTTGTACAATAAAACTAAAAACTGGGTTGCGGTTAGTAGTGTGAAAAATTATAATAATTATACTAAAAATATATATTATATGAACGTAATAAGTACCTACGTACTTTTTAGAAAGTACTTTGTACTAACTATATTGCTAAGTGGCTAAGTCTCGTGCGTTTCTCTATCCATATGCATGTCATACATTTAAAGGCCTTTTTCTCTTGAACCGTAGTAATAATTGATTGAGATTTTCTTGATATATATATATATATATATATATATATATATATATATATATATATATATATATATGTATATATGTACGTTGTTATGGCATTTACTCTAACGACCGGAAGTTCGTATTGTTATTGATCCCTTACACGCAGACGATTTAGATCTTCTAAGCCTGCGGAGAGATCTTCCTGCTGAGGTTTTCTCTGACAGCAAGAATATGGGTGTTCTTCAAAAGTCGTGTCTATAGGTCCCTTTAAAGGCCGGCAACGCATTCGCTACTTTTATCTTGCAGATGTCTAGGAGTTACCTTTGCTCGTTTTCCTCTTTTAATAAAAAAAAAAAAACAAGAAGCAAATAAATAAAGGTCTATTTGCTCTATTGTTTTAGGATAAAGGAAACAAACTTGGTATGAACAAATTTGTATTTAATATAAAATGCTGTTATATTTTGAGGTGGAACCTTCAATGCGCGAGCCTGAGTCGAACTTGGCCAATTTTATAATATGTAGGTTATAGTCTTCTACGACTTAGTTAGCATCGATTATCGAAGTACACGTTGCAATAGCAGATAATTGTTTTTTATCGCGTACCAATAATACTTGTATCAATTAGATTTCATTTCATTGTATGTTACACGTGGCTATAGTTTTGACTAATTTAAAGTATTTATTTATCTGTACAATGTACACTGGAATTTATGAATAACTAGCAACTCACCCTTGCTTCGCTCGGGTTCGTCCCTGGGTTGCTTTCCCATACAAACTGTCATCCCCATTTTTACACCATTAAGTGATGATTTCCGGGACAAAAAATATCCTATGCCCTTCCCAAGGTTTCGAGCTATCTTCTTAGCAAATTTGATCTAAATCGGTTCAGTAGTTTCGGAGTCTAACTTCGGTAGAAACAAACAAAAAAATAAATCTTTCCTTTTTATAATATTAGTATTGATATAGATAAATAATTAATCATTCAATTAGGGTAGGCACTAATTTTATTTGAAAATTAACTCTAGTTGAAATAATTTAAAAATATTTACGTTTTTAAATTCGATCACAGAACACGACAAAATTAACGATTGAAGTTAAACTACGTAATTTTGAAGCGCCTCGTTTAACAATATAAAAAATATTTATATTATATAACATTATGGTAGTAATGCTTATGATTTTTAAATCGTAGCTAACGATACATCAATTGTCCTCGTTTTAATATGTATCAAGTATTTTAACGCAACAGCGGCGAGACCTCGTACGAAATGACCCATTGTCGTCCATTTTACATTGGTAATTCATGTCATCCGCAATCAAGCAATTTTATGACACAAAGCTCGGTAACTAATATCATCGCCGTGTTATGCAGTTTACAATGTCTACACTACATACAATAATAAAGACAATGAGCGCAATTTGCCATTATATTACCAACATTACTTACATACTACAATATATAAAAGATCTAAAACTTGTTTAGTTTATATCAAAATAAAGCCCGATAAAATTCAACAATTTCCCAGTACCTATTAATTAAAAATATAATAATATAATATACTTTATTGACTGCCCCAAATCTATATTATCTATACTATACTAATATTATAAAGAGGTAAAATTTGTGAGTTTGTGACGTTGGAAGTAATCTCTGGATCTACTGAACCGATTTAGATGAAATTTAGTAAGAAGATAGTTTGAGACCCTGGGAAGGACATAGGATACTCTTTATCCTGGAAATCATCAATTAAGGAGGTGAAAATTGGGATGACAGTTTGTATGGGGAATCAACCTAGGGACGAACCCGAGCGAAACGAGAGTGAGTCGCTAGTTGCTAAATAAATTTAGTATAAGAGTTCCAGTAAGAATTCCACGTAAGCCTATTACTCCACTTTGTCCCCTACTTCGTCGAACGATCTTAGGTGCTAATTCTCCAGTCCCACGGTTATGTAAAATTCTAAATTCTTATAGCAAAAATGTCAACATATTTGCTAATTAATTAGCCAAATTCCGCAAAACCATATGCACCAATATTGGTAGTCTTATATAATGTTATGATTGTTAGATTAATGTTACTATTTACCTACTCATAGTAGAATAATGATTAATAAAAAAACACTGTTTATTTCTAAAATATACCTATTTTTCATAATATTTACAAAAATTATTTCGGTGCACGATGTGTTTATTTGTAAGTAATCACTACATTTAGTTTCTATTTCTTAGTTCTATTTATTAAATTTCTGTGTATTATTGTAAATAAACCTAATAAATAAATATATGTATATCTAATATATACCTAAATATCTCGGTGTTTGTAATCGCACTCCTCCGAAACGGCTCGACCGATTTTAAGATTTTTTTTGTATATTTGGTAGGGATGAGAAAAGATCGTAAAGTATATTTCACCCTCCAACCCTCACCCCCATTTTTAATAGCGATTTTAGTATTTCTTATGAACAATATTATATTAACACATAGCAACGAACCCGAGCGAATTAAAACCAAAGAGGTTTTTTGTAGATTGAACGCGGGCATAGCCGCGGGTTCTGCTAGTAATGTATATAAATATGTAAAATGTATTTCCAGGAGCTGAAGGCGTTTTATATGCTGTCGGTGACATTAATATTTGTAATCGCTATGGTGTTGCAAATACCAAAGCTTCAAATACCATACACAGTCAAGATGTGTGTATTCATAGGGTGGGCAGCCTATGGAGTTCTCCCTACGTTACACTGGACCTATGTCATGGGAGGTTTCGATAACCCCATGGTTCAGGTGAGATTCAAAATTTATATACTTTTACTTAAAATTGCCCTCACTATTTTTTATGAACTTCGCAAGTATTGGATCAAATGTTTCAGCTTATTTTTATTAGATATATTAGTATTAATAATTAGATTAATACTAAGAATCTACTAAGTTATATAATGTAGAGAAAAGCCGAGATAGAAGCCCCTCTTTTTAACAAGGACTTAGGTTAATCATTAATCTTACATTACGAAGTATTTTCGTTGATCTAACAATTAATGATATTGCTGAAATTGAGTTTTTGCAAAACCATTTTTTCGAGGATAGATAGATGCCTAGGTGTAGTGATTGATGCCGTCCCACTATAAAAATGGTAAGAAAGATAGATGCTCACAGTGCAGGATAGATTGCCTATTGAATAAAATAATTAAAATATATGTTAAAATGTTTTATTTATAGTAATATAACTTTAACATAATTAAATACTTTCTTAATATATTAAACTTAAGCGTATTAACGTTCAAGAAACTACTCGAGCTCGAAAACCTGCTGCTCATTTGTCATTATAAATATACGTTTAACATAACACCTCCGAAGAACATTAAATTATAATAACACTAAAACCTTGATAGAAAGAAGTCCATTGGTTTTTTCAAGCATTAATTATATAAAAACATGTACCGATAACGACCGAGGCGACTATCCTTTTTGATATGGATAGATGCCCTTTTATTTTTTAAGAAAACTAAAAATATTACAACGATTATTGATAAGTAGATGTGTACTCAATAAAACAATGTATTAAAATAATAAAAACAAGTATGATTATTTATCCCTACTTATAAAGTTATGAACCAGTAAAAACTAGCGTTAAAATTTTGAAGAGTTCGTCATGCTCGCTGCGGAGATGATCGCACGCACAGACAAAATGTATCTATTTGGCAAGATCACTTTAGTTAGGTTAAAGATATGTGGTCCTTACGTTCATTATTGTTGTTTGTTGCGATTTCAGAAAGTTAGGTTTTTAAAAACGAGAGGCACCTATCCCACTGCGGCATGTATTTCGGTTTTACCTATACAAAAATCTTATTCAGGATCTCGCTGTTTGTTGTGCCCAGCATGCCGGGTCATTATAAATGCTTAAATTTCAATCATGATTTTTTCTTTCTAAATTTTTTCGCGTATTTATATACAGAACTAGCAGTGCCCGCGGCTCCGCCCGCGTTCAAATGACCAAAAACCATGTATTACATAGTTCCTAAAGCTATAACAAACGTACAACACTAGTTTATATTGAGTTATAAACTGAGTATACAACGAAATGAAATAATAGCCTACTTCAACTTAATAATATATTTAATTAATTAATATTATTTATATAACTTAACTGGCATTGCCCGCGGCTCCACCCGCGTTCAGATGACCAAAAAACAAATTCTTAGGCTTTACATATTAGTGTACTCTTACAATGCAGTTTATGTATTTTTTCTCAGAAATGAGATATTTTCCCGCGATAAAAAGTGTCCTATATGTTAACCGGATTAACCAGCTATCATCATACCAAATTTCATCAAAATCTGTCCAGTGGTTTTCTCGTTATGCGGTAACAAACAGACAGACAAGAATTCTAAAAACTAGATTCAGACTCTATATCGATGATAATGTCTATTTCAATTAGATTTTCCAAAAAATATTTAATGTACAGATTCGACTTAGTTACGATTTTATTATATGTATAGATATATTTTTTTTGTATTTTTAAAATCACCGTATACAAAATTTTGTGGACAGATACAGTCTGTAACAACCTGTGAGGCGTCTAAAACTTAACTCTCCCTTGACCATGATGGATGTAAAGCAATAGAAACGTCAGGAACCGAACACCTAAAAAATCGGCGAATTATTTACAATTTAATTGCTTCTTGTTAACCATTTTTCTTAGTTAGATTAGATCAAAATAGTAAAATACAATTAGTTTACGACCATCAGACAGTTTTAAGCGTAAAGATCTAAATACTTAAAGAGAATTTATAAGTTTTAGCTAAGTTTAGCAGAAATATTCTAAGTACGTAAGTGGTGTTGTCGTGTTATCCATACTCTGAGAACCGTTTTTCTGTAGCTTTGTTTCGACTTTAAATGCATCGAATAAAAACGTTTTCAGACAATTTATATTTTTAATTATTAAAATAACATGGGTGTGTTAGACTTCCATTACTAAGTGGGAATAACTTAAATATCATAATTACATCACAATTACGTATAATTTTTTTGTTTTAAATTATGCTTACGAATAATTTTATTTAGTCTTCATTATATGTTAATAGTTTTTTTGCGATTATACATGCGATATTAGCGTTAATTAAAAATGAACATATAATTTTTGTTCACGAAATATTGAAAAATTCAATTATTATTAATATTTACAACACAGAAAGCAGCATGCCTTTCATAATTCACTTAACTGTTGTTAGTTTTTTGACTCATAAGTTACATATAAGTAATACTAGGTTACTTCCCCATACAAACTTTCATCCCCATTTTCACCCCCGTAACGGATGATTTGCGGGATAAAAACTATCCTCTGTCCTTCCCGGGATCTCAAACTATCTTACCAAATTTCATCTAAATCGGCTCAGTAGTTTCGGAGTTTATTCGGAACAAACATACAAAAAATCTTTCCTCTTTATAATATTAGTATAATAGTATATAATATACATTAAGGAGTTTTTGAAACTGGCAGAATGTTTTGTGTCAGTTAACTTAAAACCCAGTCAAAAGAGAGAAAAAAGAAGCTTTAATATAGAGTTTATAATTAATAAAACCTAGCATTAAAATTATATTAATGTTTTTTTTACTCTAGTTTTATTTAGGGACTTTTATTCTTTTAGGACATGTCAGTCTCATCGTATATTAACCTATATGTTAATGTTAGAATTTGAGTATTTATATTTAGAACATATTTTATTCATAAACTATGAACCCGTGAATTTTGATTGAAAATACATATCACATAATATGTATTTAATTTTAATTTTTAAATCCAGGTCGTACTTACCTTTAACGGTAAACTTATAGGTTAAAAATTCTTATTGAAATATGACATATGTAGTATCTTTCAAATGAATTTTTGAAGAGATTAAAAAGACAATGGCAAACTTACGTCATATATGTATAAATTAAACATAATTGAATATTAATTACCATAATTAAGGGAGCTATAGACATAAAAAAGCTTCCATAGTTTTTAATACATAATTAAAGCAAATAATTTTACTAACAATTTCAATTTTCTTTTCAGATATTCTTCCCTAGAGTCATAGGAATGTATGTTATAAGTGGGACGGCATTCGCGATTTACGCCTTCAAGGTAAAAAAAACAATATTTTTATAACTTATATGTATATGAGATTTCTCCTACGAAAATCATCTATGCATAGATGGGACAAGTATATATGTATCAACTTAGGTACTATACTTAGACTAAGGAATAATATAGAGTAGACAGAGTGTCATAGAACTAAATATGAAGCCAAAGAATAATGATTTAATATAATATACATATAATGATTTAAACAGAATACAAATATAAGTAAATAAATGTTAATAAATAAAAATACATTTTAACTAACTAATACATTTTATTATATTGAAGAAAAAAAAAACGCTTAAAAACACTAAATAATATAATGCAAAATAATTCATATTTTCTTATTAAAAATTGTATATTAATTCAACTGATACATTTATAAAACTTCCCTTATTCTTTAAAGAAAGTTAAAGGTTTATGTGGCAAAATCTTGAATTGTAGCATAAACAGCGAAATAGGCTACTATTCTTAACTGACACTTTTTGGCGGGCTCCGTCTATAGGTAGGTAGGTAGGTAGTTTACATAAGCGTGGATGAAGTCATACAAGTACTTTTCGCAAGTAATTTTCATTAGGGGCCATTCAATAATTACGTAAGGATGATTTTGACAATATTTTGACCCCCCTTCATTTTATGATATTTCGTAGTTAGGCAAACTGTGACCTGGAGTAACACATACGCTACTATTAGATGTTTAAAGACGCACGAGAATATGTAGCCAGTTTAATAGTAGAAGATCTTATATAAATATAAATAAAATTGAAGTGTCTGTTTGTAATGTCAAAATAACAGCGTTTTACTAAATGCATATGAATTTATATACGGTACTTATAACAAAAACACATTTTTTTTTAATTTTTGTCTGTTTGTTCTGGATAATCTCTGAAACGGCTGGACTGATTTTGACGGGACTTTCACTGGAAGATAGCTGATGTTATATGGAGTAACATAGGCTACTTTTATTTTAGAAAAAAGAATAAGGTTGTATATTATTTATTATTTCACAGGTACCAGAACGCTGGTTCCCAGGTAAGGTGGACTACATCGGCCACTCCCACCAATGGTGGCATGTTTTAGTTTTGGGCGCTCTCTATTACTGGCATAACTCAGCTATGATCTATGTCCAGTATCGAATGAACCACGGCTGTGCTAACACTATGAGAATATTCTAGAAATTACACTTCCTTATAGGTTCTATGATACTATCCCATCACATTTATCCCATTATAATATTATTAATGCAAAAGTTTGGATGGATGTTTGTTACTCAATCACGCCAGAACGGCTGAACGGATCTGGAGGCACAGAGTTGTACTATAGCCTGGAATAGCACATGGTTACTTTTTTATCCTGGAAAAGGGTACGGTTCCCGTGAGATAGATTTGTTTTTGTTTTTCACAAGTAATAGTAATATATAAATTATGGAATTATTTATAGCGCTGTTAATATGTTACTTATATCTTATACAGTATCGTTGTTAACATAGGGGGTTATTTTGATTTTAGGTGGTTTTGTTACCTAAGAAATTAAAGTTCTCTATATAAATATTTTATTAACGATATAAAATGAAATATACGTGTTTATGTCTAGATCAATATTATTTTCTATTTTTGTTTTTTTTTTATTATTTTTAATTTAATATATGAATATTTGGTAGCTATTTTTTTTCTTTTGTTATGAACGTTTACACGTATCATGGATATATTATATATTACTATTAGACTGCATCGAAAGGGATAACTTTTAGGATTTTACATATGTGTGTGGGATGCTATCAACTGTGATTATTTAAATCTTCATTACAACATTCCATAGGCATTTGAATCGTTGCTCAATGTTTTAAATAAAAAATATATTTTTATATATTCTTAGATAATCAAATTATTCTATGTATTTATAAAAGACGTGTTATTTATAAAAATTGAATCTCTACAGTCTGATATTCTGATTAGCATTTACTGTTTTCATCTGTGATGTTCTTATTCTTAGCAAGTAATGTAAAATGTTGCCAGTGAGTTGAGTTGTCGGCTTAATTTGCACTTGTTTATTTAATATGAATTCAAAATAAAATTAGGCATAGATTTTTTAAAATGTTTTTAAATTGATCTTTTTATTACATTTAACTTGTATTTGTGATTTCATTGTAATCGCCACATAAAAGGAGGCGGAATAATAAATCATTTTCAAATAATATTAATACCAAAATAAAAGTTGCAGCTAGTATTGGATAAATAGTTGTAGCTTTAATGGTTTGGTTTGTTAGATAAATATATTTAAATATTATTAAAATATAGCGGATAACTCAATTGCTGGTATTAGTTTTTTTATATTTCTATTTTCTGTATTGTGGGATCAAATCTGCCAATGAAAAATAAAAATCTAAAATATATCTTGTTTTATTCCATTATTATTCTAATATATTATTTGATTTAAGAGGGCACTGAGCTTTTGGCGCTAATTTATTTTAGTAGGACGAAAGCGGGCAGGAGAAGTATGGCTGGAGGGGACGAAACGCGTACGAATTTAGGTATTTCCTTCGTAATATTAAAACAAATACACATTTTTAAGTGTATACGATATAGGAAACGTATAGTTTTGTTATTATTTAAAAAAACTGATGAACTTCCTTGAATTACGCCGCACTACGGGTTAATTTTGTTTTTTAGAGATCATTTTGGATTTTTTTTTTCTATCGAGGAAACTCCAAGTATTCGTGTTTCTAAGTGTAGGATTTATAGAATAAATCCTTAAATATCCTACATGTTAATTGCATAATAAAAGTTTTAGTAATAACAATACAGCAAGGAATCCAACGAACGCAATTTTTCATTAACTGCTTTTCGCTGTCTCGGTGCGCCCTTAAGCACACATCCTATGAGTCTTACCTTATCAGAATCTTTAGAAATAACCGCCCTATGTATTGGATGCCGTAAAAGGACAGTCTAGCGGCCTGCGGCGACTACTTAATTTTATTAAAATGTTTGCATTAAGATGCAGATATAAACCTAATTTTGACGATCATTATCATTTGGAATTTGCATTACAAATCTGTAATTACAACTATTATTAGTGTTGCTCTACTTGCCAACAAAACACCAACATTAATGACCTAAAAATATGACTAAACATTCGATTTAAAAGCTATTATTATAATAATAATAATAAGTTACCTACGTGGGTATTTTTTTAAATACACGTTTTTCGGAGTTTATCTTTCTTCTTCATAATTTGTTGATATATTTAATGCCATCTATTGAAATTTATTAGAACTTGGTTATTTCTTGACGAGATACCATGCTGCACGCAGATTTACTACAAATTAAATTATAAGCGGCATCTTATCTCATATAACGCCATCTATTAGCGAATAGACATCATGTATTTTACAACGCTAAAGTTGTTTTACTACTCACTACTACTAGATGGAGTTAATATCTTGTTAATAAATTATTTTCTAAATATATTAAAGTTGTTTCAAGCGTATGCAAAAAAACGTAATGCCCGTATTTCATTTTTTTTTTAAATGAATGAAACAGACAAAATTTTTAGTGATATAGGTGGTGATTGGTGAAATATACAATTATTTATATTATAAAATATTGCGTATATTTGTAATATAAATAATTGTATGTTTAGTAACTATATGACAAACTATAATTATTTATTTATATTCAAAATTAACAATATTCAAAACAACTTATCATATACGTTTTATTGCTGTTACATAATGCATGCCATTTAATCAGATAGATAAATATAAAACGGCGATACAAAAACAGTTTCTTATGAAACAATATAAAATTCTACAACACATGATATAACCTAATTAAAGACTTAAAATATAAGTAAAAGTAAATAATTTATATACATAACATAATATTATCGAGGGCTTTCACAAATCCCTTCAGACATTCAATTGAACATGTCAAACAAAATAGTGATTTCACATATCAACGATTCAATAAATGAATTTTGACGTGCACAATTCACGTTCACACCTGAGTTAAATCGAGAGGTTTGGAACGAAAAACAAAAGATAAATGGGCAATATTTTCATTGCACCGATGAATGGACGGCTGTTGACTCAGCGTACTGGAAAATATGGCTACCTATCATCCGCGATTGGTAAATCCGATCGGAATTGTTTTAAAGAATCGTTAAAAGTAAATTAAATTTCTTTTTCCTCTTCATTATTTTATTGTGGTGATTCGTTGTTTTGTCATTGGTTGTATTTATACTTAAAAAACTATTATCGCAGATATGAGAATATTAATTAATTCGGCAAAAGATAACATACATGCATACCTAAAATTTATTATATTTGCACGGTTTATGTAGACGAGTACCTACTTTTATTATTGTTAGTACAAATAGGTACCTATTTATTTGTTTATGGCTTCAGGTAAAAGAAAACAACTTTCAGGTAAAAACAAGTTTCGGGTACTTTTATATGTCTAATTTTAGGAAATTTTCCTTGTAAACTCCTGTGTCTTGAATAAAAGATTTTTCGCTTCTAATTACAAAAGCCGAAGATTGTAAAAGCCCACATCTATATCAAAACATAGTTTAGACAAAATATTTTCTAATACACTAGCAAAACTAATATTGTCAACGGCTCCACTCCATTTTTAACTTGTTTGTCTTTTGTATGTGGATACTACCTAAATACTTATAATATTAAAAAAATATGCAGATTAAAAATACATATAAGATATTAGAATAATAATTTATTAAATAGTTGATGTAAAACTTTGACCTCGTTTCAGTTACAAGCATATATTATGTAGAGTTATTGGTAGATCTATGGTTTACAGCAGTGGCACCGTGCCCAGTAGTGCCTTGAAAGAACCGCTCTACCTATTTAATATGTACGAGACCTAAAGCGTGAAACTATTTGACATTTTATTTAATTTGTCGTTTGTGTGCGTTTTTATAACAAAGTTTTAACTAATTTCCTCAAAAATCATAATAAGTTTTACAGTCTAATCATTTTAAAAATTGGTATATGTAAGAACTAACTAATAATTTTCAAATTCAAAACTTCTAACTGGAAACTAACGAAATACATAGATATCTTACTCGAAGTTGAATTTCCGTATCTTTTAACAAATAAATACGTGTGACCATTAAAATAATTATAAACTGTTTATACTTCATATATAATTATTGCTTTTTGACGCAACAATGACTACAGGCTGACTAATTTTGGCAAACAGAAGTGCCATAATGTAAACAAGATGACTTAATGCGATTAATTTTTATGTTAGCGGCCCGTTTCGCTCAGGCGCATTTTTAAACGTCTTAATTTTTTTTAATATCGTAGGTTTTTTTTGTGACTTCATCTGTGACACGTGATTTACAAAAACTAATATTTTTTGGTAATTATTACTATATTACAGATGTTTAACGTACATACATAAAATGCAACCATTTTTAACGTCCTACTGCTGCTGTACTTGGCACGGGCCTCCCCATAATACTTCTCCGGATTTTACATGGTTCATGGTTTTATCACTATGTTTTATTTGCGATTAATTGTTTAATACATACATGTAGACAGCGCACGCTGTCTTAAGATGCAGTTTTTTCCGGATTTATTTTGATATTAGTAAGAGTACCCTTAAGCTTCTATACTAAACAATTCCGAAAATTTCTCAGTAGTACAGTTTAGTTATAGTTATCTACTTGGTTTATAGATTATTTCTGTTACGTTTTAGGCACATAAATTATAGCATTTTTTCTCTTACCTTCATTAACGCTAATAGTCACATATATTTTGTAATAAATATACACATTTTTTCGTAGTTCGTACCTATTCAAATTAAATAGAAACTACCCATAATCGATACATTCAGCCATCGGACATCGATATAGATACAATATTTATATTAATATGGAATGAAATATTTGCTACAATAAAAAAAAATGATGAAAGATTCTTACGTGTGTCTTGTATTAATTTTACAATTGTGTGAAACAATGACAAGTAGGTACCTATGCCTTAAAAAAATCAATTAATATATAAACAATAACTGGACAAGTAAAGTATAATTCCGAATTGAACAACAAAGAGAATATTTACAATATATTTTCTTATAAATGATCAAAAGTAACAAATTAGTGAGGTCGATCGACGCCGGTCCCAGGAGGCGAGACGCGGTGACGGATT